CAACATAGTACATTTAATTACTCTCAGCTGAGATCTTTTTATTGCCGTTTGTCCGTCTTTACATGCCCAGAGACATTAAGGAATTAATATCTTTATAAAAATATTAAATCAATTCAGGTAAAAAGTGGGTGCTGTGTTTGAATTAACTCATTTTGAGCTATATTAATCTAATCTGTGTAGATTTCTTTTTCAACCTTGCATATATTTTTACAAAAGAAGAATGGCCTTGCAAATTTTGTCTGCTAGCAAGAGGTCCTTCAGCAATTTCGTGTAAACCCTTTTGAATCTCAACACTGATATTATTCAAATATTTTATCTTAGTCAGACCATGTTAGTTTTAACTTGTTTTCGGACGGGCCACTTCATGATCAAGGTCGCAGATAAAGAACAAAGACTTAGACTACAGATACTATAGATAAGTTTTCCACTCTTTAGCACTTGAGTGAATACCATGACACTTGAATCAAATGTTTACCTCGTTAAGACAACGAACACAGCACTTAGATTAAAGACAACCCAATGTAGCTTAAAGCTTGCATTTAAGACAAAGAAACACCGAATCATCTAGTTCTCCAGAACACAGAAATTTTATGTCATTTAAATTTTTAACCATGCTGAAAATACACATAATTTGCAATAAACCTGTTACGGTCAAAGGAATGGAACCAGGTAGTAATATGGCAGGGTACTTCAATAAAAAAATATTGAGATAACAACGCGAATTAAAGAAACTTCATGTTGCAGATCAATGTCACAAATGATGGTCAAATTCTTTATTCACATATCCACATATCGCATGATGGTCAATGTCAAATGTTTTTGCCTTACACAAATATATATCTGGTTCCTGGCATCTGTATGCAAACCTTTTTAAAACTTTTAACGAAACTTATTTCAATGAATAAGAAACTATCACAAATATTTCTTTGGATGCACTTGGATGCACTTATCTAAAAGTAGTCCTATCTATATCTACTTTTGAAAGACGCTGTACGAACTAAGCTGTGTCTCTGATACTATGCATTAATAGCAATAGGATGTTATTAAGTCAAACGTGAATAATCACATATTTTTCTAGGACTCAAGTTTGACAACAAACAGATGACAACATCAACAAATCATTTATATTCTTTTTTTGTTTGAGGCAAAACAACATCAAAAACATTCCATTTGTAATCTTTTATTATTTAAAGCCATAAAACTGGCGGGATTGGTCATGACAGGGCGGAAACGAAGATCCATTAGACAAGCACATATGCAAATAAAGAATCTCTAACCATACACAGTTATTATTAGTATTTAGTTATTTCCCTAAAACCCTTACAATTTAATTGTCGCATTTTTTTTGTCGCAAACTGGCTCATTATACATATTTCATTTTAAAATGGAGAAAATATGAATCCCTATAGAAAGCAAAAAACGAGAAAATTGAAAAGGATGCAGGCTAAGTTTGATTGAGCTTGTTCATGGGCGGTACTGTCAAATGCAAACTACCGTCATCGCCCCCTATCACCGGCTTAAGAAGAATTCAAAATTTAATCATGGAAATGGAGAAATTTTAGTTTATAAACATCCGCAGTTGTGTTTATACAGCGGTAAGCGTGGAACATTCAATGTGACACTTTTGTGCTATTCCGTGAAAAGCGGCGTATGGTCTCCAAGTAAAAGAATGTGTGTGCCCGAAACGAGAAAACAAGTCATTGCGGTATATACGTATCAAATTACGAACTTTATAAAAGCATTATACTTCCAAATTCCTGGTAATTTTTATGAATTTAAAAACGAATTTAAAAGAAAAGTATTGTGAAGTAATCCAAAAATAAATATAATTTGAAAACAGCACTTATAATTTACGTCAAATATGCTAAAATAACGCGTACTGCATTAGTCACGGTGATAAATACTGCAAATAAGTAAATAATCGCACAAAGTATGTAGATTACTATTTGAATCGTGTTACTTTTCTAAAATCATAATACATTTTCATAATATTTGCTTGAAATATTTTAGCTCATATGGAAGCATGCAACTTTAAAGGTTTTATGAACATGCAGCAATATTTCAGAGGAAATCCAAGTATATCAATTATCTAGATCTAAACTAAATCATCATTATTCTGAGTAACAACCGATTCTGAACATTTGTCCCCATACGTGGCATCAGCGAAAAAGGTATGCATCCTACACTACATTCATCTGGCGGTACACATGCGTTATTGCGTATTTTTTTGTTTTGAAATACTTCTATTTTAGTGTATACAACGATATGGATATGGACATTTCTGCTAAAATATTTTGTTTCAGTTTTGAAAAAGTATACATACAATATCTATATGAAATTCATGTCGTCACCTCAATGCAGTAACGTAATAAGTTCTTCTAAATTTAATAGGAGTTAATCAGTAATTGCACTAATGGTAGAGCGAATGGCGCATGCACATAACAATCGATAAATAGTAAAAACCCTTCTTAAACTAGCAGCATTACGGAACATTTATTCTGTTCAGGTGCAATATTCATAGCAATGTCATTACAAAGTTTTCAAGAATCGACAAGTGTTATGGAAACAATATGACTTTTCTGTTCAATTTTGCTTTAACACAGGCATGGACATTAATCTTGACAAAACAGTGATAATTGTATTTCGAAATTGAGGTCGTCTTTGTAATCATGAATCTTGGTCTTTTCGCGGTCAGCCTGTAAATACAACTACTGTTTATAAATATATGGGTTTGTTATTGACGCCACAACTATCATGGAATATAGCTCATGATAAATTAAGCTTCACAAGCCCAGAGGGCAATTTTTGCCATCAAAGGTTATGAAAAGCCATTTGGTAATTTTCCCATAAAGGAACACTTTAAAATATTTGATGCAATGATCAAACCGATCACAGATTTGGGGGTATGAATTTAGTCCAACAATAGAATCTGTTCATAAATATTCTGCAAAGGTTTATTGAATGTTCGAAAAAATAAAAATACAAGCATGGAGTTAGGTGAATGTGGTAGACTCCCACTTTTATGGAACAGAATTAGTGCATTTATTCTTGGTGATTATTGCTTGATGATACTGGGACTTACATTATGCTTTCTTCTATACTTCGTTATGACAATGGAAACCTACGTTTTGCTGAACACAATCATGCATTATGATTATACTGAATGCTCGATCATGTAATTGCAACTTTATGTGTTCCTTTCTGAACCATCAAACTCACATAGTTTAATAAACTAAATGTTTAATCGCATTTTTTAAATACAGCGTATTATGTGTTTAAGATAACATTCTTTGCTTGTTCTTGATATAAGAAGATGTAAAATGGTATTCTCCTGTAAGTACCAATATTTTGCTATAAATCTGCCACTTACATTGTCGACACTATTTTACAATAAATAATTGACTTTGGTCAATACTTGGCGAATTTGAAGTGTCTTAGCATTAATATGCTTCAATATATTCACTGATTACAAATATAATGCAATACATGATCACTGCGCATCGACAACGAAGATGACAACGATAGCAATATTAGTCGCATGTGACAGTACGCACTAAGCAGTTGGCGGTAAGCATAATGCAATATTTGTTTTCATATTATGACAGCAGGTGTCGCTTTGTCGGTACATCCCGTTATTTTCCGGATGGTCCCGCTATTTTTGCACGTTCAGTAAACAAAGTTACGTCCCTTTTATATGGGGGACGTATACCGAACAGTGTTAGTTGGGGGCTGCGCCGCGCCTGACCAATTTAATTTTGTAAATACGTACTAATGTACACTTTAACCTACACTAAGTGGGCACTATGAATAGATAGTGTTATTACAAGAATATGGCAGTTTTTTAAGAAAGGCACAACTTTACTGGACCATAATAAGGAATGCAAAATACAAATAGTTATCGGCATGATAATATTAACAATGCCAGTAGATGTCACTATTAAAGTCATTTTAAAAGCTTATTAAATGTGAAACGCTACTCCTAATAGAAATACTTGTAAAACATAAGAAAACATATGCTAAATTTTGATGTTCAATTTTGTCTCCAAAATCATTTAACTTATCATGATGACTGTGAATATCATGCTTTTTCCATTGTAACAAATAATTAGAAATTAGAAATTACATAACTTTTATGAAATACTTTCATCAAATGATAATTTAATAATTAAGAAAAGCTGCTTATATTTACCACCTTAGGATCTCTATAGCACAGTAGTAATAATTGTAATGAGAATTTGTCAAAACTTGTAAACGACACAACTTAAAAATGTTAAATATCACAATTTGTATGATATGTATTTTGGGTCGGTGGCCTTTATATACTAAATAAATCTTTTGACTTGCCTTGCCTTGTTTATAGATTTAAAGAATACTTTATAAGACATAGCTTTACAGTCACGAATAGTGCAGATTTCTCTACGACTTCGAGGGTTGTTTCTTGATCATCATTCTTGTTCATCATTACCTCGAAATCTAGTTGAAGATTAGTAATACTCGGGGCGGGCCATTGGTAAAAACAAAAACTTCCGTATAACATAAAACCAAAACCAGCGAGTAGGGAGTCTGAAAGCATTTTCAATATCAATTATTCAGGTAATAATTTCACCCAAATCTAGAACCTATATATATATATATAAAACCGGGCTCAGTTTTTTTACTTTATTGAAGCGTCTTAATACTAATCTTTAACTGTTTAAAAGTTCTCTTGAATTCAAACTATTCAGTAAATATCTTGTATGATTTTATAAAATTACATGACGGATAAGTTGTCGCCTTAGCCTTTTAGCATTGATAAGAATGGTTTGAAAAGACATCATCTTGCTTGTTTGTACAAACACAAATGATAAATCAATTGATAAAAATGTGAATATGCTCCTATTTAAATACAATGAAATAAAATCAGTACTATGAGAACACTTACGGCCACAAAATGTTTGATTACTGATTTATCTTTTTTAAGTACATGATAACGACACCGAGACCACATGCACAAACAGTATTTAAATAAAAAAATATTTTATAAATACTGTGATGAGGAGCAAGTCGAGTCAGTTGTTTTACGTTGTCATCATGGAAACATATTTAATACTACTAACTGTGATTGTTGCATGCTCATCGGAGCCACACTGCTCTAAATTTCACTATGAGGAAAAATTGCTTGAAAAGATGATCAGAACAGAAATTCTTGTTGAAAATATGAAGAAACAAATGGATGACATGGAAACTAGAGTTACCGGGGCATTAGCCAAGCTAAACGAAGATACAACTACATGGAAAGGAGAAATAGAAACAATGCAAGAAAGCAATAAGGCAAACCTTATCATATTGCAAGAGAAAGCAAAGAGCGAGTTAGACAAAAATATGCAAGCAGTGCAAGACCTTAAAGGTAATCTTTCTTATTAAGTATGCTTTAATTAGTTTGAAGAATAATGAATTTTAATCTTTAATAAAAAGTCGAGCTATTCAAAGATATGCAAGCAATGGTTTAGCTGGAAGGTAATGTGTCTTGTTTTACCTTTTAATGATTGTACGTTACTTGATTTAAACTGTTCTTCTATGGACTCAGTGTCACCAATACTGGCCTGTAAAGAGTCTCGAATTGAACAGCAATACTATTGTACATATATTTTTATTGTGTAAAAAGTGCATTGCATCAGCGATCGGTTTAAATATGCATCGATTATCATACTCAAGTAATATACTAGATAAACTGTATTAATTATCACAACGAACCATAAGGGAATGAAGCAATATATTTGGTCTTTAAAAAGACACACTTACTGCATTTCAATGAAAATCAAAGTGCATAATGTAATGATGAACTTTGGTCATCGGTTGCTGAGTGTTTGCCAGACAAAGTTAACCTATTATTCGACATGTATTAGAACAATAATAGGATAAAAGATATTCATCTGCAATGGTGCAATGCAACTGAAATTTACAGATAAATGGAAGTGTTGATTAAATGATTGAAAGGCTTCGTTACACTACCAGATCGCAGTATAAAAACGAACAACCCAAGAAAAGATAATTTTATACGCATTTTTTTTTTTAGAAAACAGAAAATGTACCTTGTTGATAAATGTAGATTATAAAAACTGCTTTAAAATATAATATACATGGATAGAGTTATACCGTTATATCTTTCGTTTGACAATGTTTATTTTCAATAAATGAGTACTGGCATTGGAACTTAATGACTTCAAAAATAAAAGTACTGGCACTGCATCGAAATCTTGTACTGGTACTGCACAAGTTGACAAATACTGGTACTCGTACTAGTACTACATCCCTAGTTCTGATGCATCTCTGACTTTTATGGTCACTTTTTTGTGTTCTTCAACGTACGGTATTCCGTTTGGACAACCGTATTTCGTCCCTACTAGTGATGCATAATGGTACGATGTTGAAAATGCGATGGTACGATGATACGATGATGAAAACACGATGGTACGATGGTGAAAACACGATGGTACGATAGTGAAATCGCGATGGTGCGATGATGAAAACGCGATTAAACATCGCGTTTACACCTTCGTATTATCGAGCCATCGCAATTTCACCATCGTACCATCGCGCTTTCTTCATCGTACCATCGTGTTTTCACCATCGTTCCATCGTGCATCGCTGGTACAGACTAAATAAAAATCACGATTGTCAAAACAACGCAATATATATTTGGCTTCACGATGACAGTCAAAAATTGTCATTTTCAAATGCTCAAATTATTTGCTGCGTCATATCTCCCTGCCTGGTAAAATGAAATAAATACAAATGTATCTCGCTTTCACATGCTGACTACGACATGCATAAATTGTTACAACGAGATTTAACTATAACGCAGTCATGATATTTTCTTGTAATAACTAGATATACCGCCTTTATAATTTGCATTATCCCATATTTGTGGCATACTTTGAGAAAAATCTTAGTTCCGCGCCTGTATTTGAAGTTATGAAGTAATAAATTTCATCATGCACTTTTTTCATGATAACGAGATAAATATTTCGTAACTGAAAGATAATTTTCTGGTAATAACGAGATGCTTTGCATTTCTTACGAAATACTACTATACCAGAAACACAAGATAGTTTTTTTTATTGTAACTAGATACTTGATCGAAACAATATGTTTACTGTCTCTATTTGGCTTTTGTGAAAACTGTTATGCTGACGTATGTTTTATTTTACTTGTATACGCTTATTTCAGAGAAAGTTGTGCGACCAAATATTGCCTTTCATGCGACGAACGTGAAAAATAACAGTCCCGTTGCTGGTAATACCATTGTATTCACTGACATTGTTCTTAACATTGGCGAGAGTTACAATACTGATACTGGAGAATTTACTGTTCCACTTGGAGGCATTTATCTGTTTACTGTTCAGCTATGTATTTATAATAATAAACAAATTGATTACGGATTGGTGGTTGATGGTAAATATAAGGATGTAGCAAGGTATCATGACAACTATGGTAGTGTTTCCTGCTTCAAGTTAACTACAACAGTCTCAGTAAAGTCAGGTAACAAAGTCTGGGTAAAGGTGATATATCGGGGGGGAAGCGGAGTTATTTTGTATCACTATAAAAAAAACTATTGGACATCATTCTCCGGAGTTCTTATTCATATAGATTAATTCAGTATGTTAAAATTGACGAATACATATGAAGAAATATAGCATTGACTTAATTATACTTAAACGTTTGGAATGTATTAATCATAGTGTTTTAACTGAAATTTCTTCTATTTTGTTTTCGCTGGATAGCAGTGCTTATTTTTATATAATACTTAAAAATATTATAATTAATTGTAATGATTTAATTTATGGTATATTTTCACCAAAAAAAACAATGAACAATTGTTTCAATGGACGAACAATTTTGATAGCGCAATAAGAACATCAGACATAAACAAATGGAAATGTAAGCAGACCGTCTACACTCCATTTAATGTATGTAAAATGTGAAAAAAAATATTGCAAACACACACATATGTTTAGATGATATAATAATTTTCAAATCTTATCAAATTATTTTAATAAAAATATACATGTAAAACAATAGAAAACCTTTAAGCCCGTACCTGTAAGATCCAATTATACATGTACATGTATTTCACTTATGATCACCATATTATTAAGGAACAGAATTAATGCATTTATTTTATCTTGCTTGATGACATTGTAACTTTCATTATGCTTGATTCCATCTTGCTTGATGACATTGGAACTTGCATTATGCTTGATTCCATATTGCTTGATGACATTGGAACTTGCATTATGCTTGATTCCATCTTGCTTTATGATATTTAATTTTTGCATTATGCTGGATTCCATTTTGCATTATTTCAAACTGGCGAAGCGTTGATCACAAGCCATTTATCGTACTGTTTTTTTTAATTAACGTCATAAACCTTTATGCATAAGTTACTTTTCTTTACGATTTAGTTCATTTTTGTATTAGTTTTATGTTGAAGTCATTCAAAATCGAATATATTTTATACCCTACTTCCTTTTGTACACCAAAAAATTACCACGATGGATTTTGTTAAAGTGTGCCTTATACGATTTATAGCTCGCATGGCGTGATAACTGTTAGCTTTCGCTTTTTTCCATTATTCAGTGTTTATGCTAACTAAAGTTTGCGTGTCTGGTGCTTTGTGGATTATGTTTGGTCATCTGACATTGTATATATATAAACAATTTAAACAATTGTGACATGTGCATAGCCAATTACAAATAATGATCATATATGTGTACGAATATAGTACACAGCCCAATGGGCCTATAAGTCACCAATAAACTGTGTCGTAGACACCCCTAACACACCACCACATTCACATACATTTATGCTTAAAGATATAATATGCGCATCTTTCAGTAATATATTTTTATTACAGAAAATTATTATTATCTGAAAAATTCCTACTAAATATGTCTTATTTAAATAAAAACACATACAAACAAAGCGTGGGAATCTGTGTTTCTTATAACTGGTCATTTAAGTAAAGTTGTGCCTTTCTTAAAAGAAACTGCCATATTCTTTCAATAACACTATATATTCATAGTGTCCACTTATAGTGTATAGAATTTAAAGCAAAACAATAGTGTGAAGCCAAATGATGTTTATTTTATATCACACAAAGACTATGACGCAATTATCGATATTTTTCAATATTTTCAAATATCAAGTTTCAGCATAGTATATATTTAAATTCAATTTCTCTATTGCACATACGACTAAGGCATACGCTCAAGAAGTAGTATCACGGTGCATATCCATATCGGTACCCTCTTTGCGAAATATGCTCAAACGGTACCCTCCTTGAACATGCACAGGTCATTCTCTGCTAAAAACAAACATTCGATGGATAACAATCCAGTAAAATTTCATTGTAATAAGGAAAGGAGGTATGACACGTAGAAAAGATGTATACCACGGAACACTAGAATGTTTTATTTATGTGCTGATTTGTCATGTGCCCGTTTTTCATGTACTGCAACTTCACAATAAGCTACAAAAAATCAACATGTCTTGCCTCGCCCATCACATCTACATATTTTTCGGGCTTAAATGAACCTATGGCTTGATTATATATGCATCATACATATTTAATATGTTCATATACATATCCTCTTCGGACAAATGGCAGTATATTGTCAAAAAGAAATGAAAAATTCATAAAAACACCCTACTTTCGGTTTTGCAGCTGCACGGGCTACCTCTCTTCATTTGAATATCACAGGTACCCTCTCATTTTTTAACACATAGGTACCCTCAAAGCACGACATATGCTTTTATTTGCGTTAATCCCTAAGTATGTAATATTAACATAAAAGTATGAAATATTACATACATACTTAACGATTCAAATGAAGAGAGGTAGCCCGTGCAGCTGCAAAACCGAAAGTAGGGTGTTTTTATGAATTTTACATTTATTTTTGACAATATACTGCCATTTGTCCGAAGATGATATGTATATGAACATATTAAATATGTATGATGCATATATAATCAAGCCACAGGTTCATTTCAGTCCGAAAAATATGTCGAGGTGATGGGTCGAGGTGATGGTAGAGCGTTGGACTGTGAATCGGGCGACCCGGGTTCGATTACCGAACGGCGCAGATCACTTTCGTTGTGATTTATCATGAAATCCTTTCTACGGTCACTCGTACTGTACCTCTGCTCTGGCATGTACAGAAGTTTCAGTTCCTTGCGATAGTGAAGGCAACTAGTACTGGTAAACTGCTTGACAGCCTGCCCAAGAACTATGCGGTGGTTGAACTGTGCTCTGGTGAATTCAATATGTGGCTTATAGTGAAAACTACCACCACCACCTCCACCACTATACTCCACGAGCCAAAATAGCGGGACCATCCAAAAAATAACGGGATGTACCGACAAAGCGACACCTGCTGTCATAATATGAAATAATACAGTCATAATAATAAATACTTAAATAATTTATTGTTTGCTTTTTTACCTATGAATTCACTTATTTTAGGTGGACATTTAATACACATATTGGAAATAAACTTGTCAACAACTCCCATCATTAAATTACTATTTGTTTACATGTTTAGTTTAGACCCGTTCTGTACGGAATACCGTTAGGGCCATCGTGATTATACGTTAAAATACAGATGGCGACAATGCAAGAGTGCGACAGTGCGATGACGACAAAACGACAGTGCGATGACGACAATGCGACAGTGCGATGAAGACAATGCGACAGTGCTATGGCGACAATGCGATAACGCGATAGTACGATGACGGCAGGGCGACAGTGTTATCGCACTGTCGCCATCGCACTGTCGCATTGTCGTCATCGCACTGTCGCATTCTCGTACTGTCGTCATCGCACTATCGCACTGTCGTCATCGCACTGTCGCATTGTCGTCATCGCACTGTCGCACTGTCGCATTCTCGTACTGTCGTCATCGCATTATCGCACTGTCGCCATCGCATTGTCGCACTGTCGTCATCGCGTAATCGCACTGTCGACTATCGCCTTCTGGACGGTTCTAAACTGCTGGCGAATAAGCTGACGGTATAGATTATGGGATAATTTTACTTTTGTCAATATTTTTTTTTCTTGTTTTTTCTTTTCCTTTTTATTATTTTTTTGTTTGTTTCTTTTCTGTATACTAATAATGTTTAGATAAAATTATTAATTAATAATAAGAATCATTTTATATATAAATACTGAAAGAGTTATACATTTTTTTATTTAATCATATTTATTAACTATCTTTAAGAAATATAAAAGAGCTATGTTCACCAAGCACCAAAAATGGCTCGATCTTAGATATTGATAAAAATCTAAAGAATCTTCAATTTGATAGGTAGTTGGTAGTTGGATATTCAAATAACCTACTACCTACTACCTGGTAGTTGGTTGTCCTTAATCCCCACTACCTACCGGCAGGTAGTTGGTAATTCGAATTTTGCATGTTTCCCTTAAAAAACAACAACAAACAACAAAAATAAACAGTAAGAATTTTTCTGGATTAGGTATAATGGATAGATGTGTTTTTCAACATTGAAACACATTGTCTCACAATGTCCACCAGCGAAATCAGTTGGCCAGTTAAACTTATAGTAGGATTTGCTGTTAAGTTAATCTTAAAGTGAAAATTGTTGACCACTTATGTTAGATATATATAGAAAAAAAATTATGTGTTGACGTTTTTCTAATTACATGTATCTTTAATAAACAATGATTTTATTTTTTTTTTTTTTTTGCATCTTTTAAATATCAACATAAGATCATTTTTATCTGAGATATTTCTATTACATTGTACATTAAAGTTTCACACAATTTATTACATTTTCCGTCTATGTATAACTCTTTCAGTATTTATGTATAAAATGATTCTTATTATTAATTTATGATTTCATTTAAACATTATTAGTATACAGAAAAGAAACAAACAAAAAATAATAAAATGGAAAAGAAAAAACAAGAAGAAAAAAGATATTGAGAAAAGTAAAATTATCCCATATTCTATACCGTCAACTTATTCGCCAGCAGTTTAGAACCGCCCACCAGAAGGCGATAGTCGACAATGCGATAACGCGATGACGACAGTGCCACAGTGCGATGGCGACAGTGCGATAATGCGATGACGACAGTACGACAATGCGACAGTGCGATGACGACAATGCGACAGTGCGATGGCGACAGTGCGATAACACTATCGATCTGTCGTCATCGTACTATCGTGTTATCGCATTGTCGCCATAGCACTGTCGCATTGTCTTCATCGCACTGTCGCATTGTCGTCATTACACTGTCGTATTGTCGTCATCGCACTGTCGCACTCTTGCATTTTGGCCCTCTGTATTTTAAAGTATAACCACGATGGCCCTAACGGTATTCCGTAGCTATGTGTAGTTCGAGGTCCTTATCCGAAGACTGTCAGAAAGGGCCGAGTAGTTGCGATTGCTGCTTAGTGCGTTCGGTAACATGTGACTATAATATCGATATCGTTGTCATCTTCCTTGTCGATGCGCAGTCAAGGAATAAATTGAATCATATGAATGCTAAGACGTCAAACTCGCCAAGTATTGATTAAATTCCATTATTTATTGTGAAAAAGTGTCGACAATGTATGTGGCAGATTTATAGCAAATTAAATTGACAGGTACTTACCATTTTACATCAAGCTATTAAGAATGTCCTTTAGACACCGAACATAATAAAATTGAATATTAATTAAATATATAGCATATTAAAATATGTGAGTTTGATGGTTCGGAAAGGAATTAACACATGAAGTTGCAATACATGATAGTGCACTCATAATGCATGATAGCATTCAGCAAAACGTAGGTTTCTATTATCATACTGAAGTATGGAAGCAAGCATTATGTAAGTCCCAATATCATCATCAAGCAAGATGGAATAAATGCACTATTCTGTTCCGTACCAGTTATTTTTCATATTTCACACTTAAGTTATATCCTTTAACAACAGTAGTTAATTATATGCCACTCATGAGCCCCAGTTATTACATTTTCAAAACTCATAAAAATATTGTTTCCGCTGCTCCTTTTTCTACTTAATTTCTTTAATTTGTAAACCAGTAAAAATATATTCCTGATTCAATAAGGGAAGAGGGCTATGTGTGTTTGTATGCTTTGATACAATGTACAAAAAAATATTGGCCGTGATTATCAAACTTCAAGAAAAGATAAGTAATTTAACAGTAAACACAACTAGTGGTCAACAGTAATTATCAATCCTCCATAAGAAGGTTGAAAAATGTAAGAAATATTTTACTGTCTACCATGAACATGTGCATTATTTCCGGAAGTTCAGCTTGATTACCAAGTTAAATTTGTACGGTCAGATTATAATGAATGACCACCACCTCCACCACTATACTCCACGAGCCAAAATAGCGGGACCATCCAAAAAATAACGGGATGTACCGACAAAGCGACACCTGCTGTCATAATATGAAATAATACAGTCATAATAATAAATACTTAAATAATTTATTGTTTGCTTTTTTACCTATGAATTCACTTATTTTAGGTGGACATTTAATACACATATTGGAAATAAACTTGTCAACAACTCCCATTATTAAATTACTATTTGTTTACATGTTTAGTTTAGACCCGTTCTGTACGGAATACCGTTAGGGCCATCGTGGTTATACGTTAAAATACAGATGGCGACAATGCAAGAGTGCGACAGTGCGATGACGACAAAACGACAGTGCGATGACGACAATGCGACAGTGCGATGAAGACAATGCGACAGTGCGATGGCGACAATGCGATAACGCGATAGTACGATGACGACAGGGCGACAGTGTTATCGCACTGTCGCCATCGCACTCTCGCATTGTCGTCATCGCACTGTCGCATTCTCGTACTGTCGTCATCGCATTATCGCACTGTCGCCATCGCACTGTCGCATTGTCGTCATCGCACTGTCGCACTGTCGCATTCTCGTACTGTCGTCATCGCATTATCGCACTGTCGCCATCGCATTGTCGCACTGTCGTCATCGCGTAATCGCACTGTCGACTATCGCCTTCTGGACGGTTCTAAACTGCTGGCGAATAAGCTGACGGTATAGATTATGGGATAATTTTACTTTTGTCAATATTTTTTTTTTCTTGTTTTTTCTTTTCCTTTTTATTATTTTTTTGTTTGTTTCTTTTCTGTATACTAATAATGTTTAGATAAAATTATTAATTAATAATAAGAATCATTTTATATATAAATACTGAAAGAGTTATACATTTTTTTATTTAATCATATTTATTAACTATCTTTAAGAAATATAAAAGAGCTATGTTCACCAAGCACCAAAAATGGCTCGATCTTAGATATTGATAAAAATCTAAAGAATCTTCAATTTGATAGGTAGTTGGTAGTTGGATATTCAAATAACCTACTACCTACTACCTGGTAGTTGGTTGTCCTTAATCCCCACTACCTACCGGCAGGTAGTTGGTAATTCGAATTTTGCATGTTTCCCTTAAAAAACAACAACAAACAACAAAAATAAACAGTAAGAATTTTTCTGGATTAGGTATAATGGATAGATGTGTTTTTCAACATTGAAACACATTGTCTCACAATGTCCACCAGCGGAATCAGTCGGCTATAGTACAATATGTTGACCAGTTAAACTTATAGTAGGATTTGCTGTTAAGTTAATCTTAAAGTGAAAATTGTTGACCACTTATGTTAGATATATATAGAAAAAAAATTATGTGTTGACGTAAATTTCTAATTACATGTATCTTTAATAAACAATGATTTTATTTTTATTTTATTTTTTTTTTGCATCTTTTAAATATCAACATAAGATCATTTTCATCTGAGATATTTCTATTACATTGTATATTAAAGTTTCACACAATTTATTACATTTTCCGTCTATGTATAACTCTTTCAGTATTTATGTATAAAATGATTCTTATTATTAATTTATGATTTCATTTAAACATTATTAGTATACAGAAAAGAAACAAACAAAAAATAATAAAAAGGAAAAGAAAAAACAAGAAGAAAAAAAATATTGAGAAAAGTAAAATTATCCCATATTCTATACCGTCAACTTATTCGCCAGCAGTTTAGAACCGCCCACCAGAAGGCGATAGTCGACAATGCGATAACGCGATGACGACAGTGTCACAGTGCGATGGCGACAGTGCGATAATGCGATGACGACAGTACGACAATGCGACAGTGCGATGACGACAATGCGACAGTGCGATGGTGACAGTGCGATAACACTATCGATCTGTCGTCATCGTACTATCGTGTTATCGCATTGTCGCCATAGCACTGTCGCATTGTCTTCATCGCACTGTCGCATTGTCGTCATTACACTGTCGTATTGTCGTCATCGCACTGTCGCACTCTTGCATTGTCGCCCTCTGTATTTTAAAGTACATAACCACGATGGCCCTAACGGTATTCCGTAGTTCTGTGTTAGTTCGAGGTCCTTATCCGAAGACTGTCGGAAAGGGCCGAGTAGTTGCGATTGCTGCTTAGTGCGTTCGGTAACATGTGACTATAATATCGATATCGTTGTCATCTTCCTTTTCGATGCGCAGTCAAGGAATAAATTGAATCATATGAATGCTAAGACGTCAAATTCGCCAAGTATTGATTAAATTCAATTATTTATTGTGAAAAAGTGTCGACAATGTATGTGGCAGATTTATAGCAAATTAAATTGACAGGTACTTACCATTTTACATCAAGCTATTAAGAATGTCCTTTAGACACCGAACATAATAAAATTAAATATTAATTAAATATATAGCATATTAAAATATGTGAGTTTGATGGTTCGGAAAGGAATTAACACATGAAGTTGCAATACATGATAGTGCATTCAGTAATCATAATGCATGATAGCATTCAGCAAAACGTAGGTTTCCATTATCATACTGAAGTATGGAAGCAAGCATTATGTAAGTCCCAATATCATCATCAAGCAAGATGGAATAAATGCACTATTCTGTTACCAGTTATTTTTATATTTCACACTTAAGTTATATCCTTTAACAACAGTAGTTAATCATATGTCACTCATGAGCCCCAGTTATTACATTTTCAAAACTCATAAAAATATTGTTTCCACTGCTCCTTTTTCTACTTAATTTCTTTAATTTGTAAACCAGTAAAAATATATTCCTGATTCAATAAGGGAAGAGGGGTATGTCACAGTGTTTGTGTAATTTGTTACAACGTACGAGAAAAAGCCGAAATAATATTGGCCGTGATTATCAAACTTCAAGAGAAGATAAGTAATATAACAGTAAACAACAGCTAGTGGCTTACAGTAATCATCAATCCTCCATAAGAAGGTTGAAAAATGTAAGAAATATTTTACTGTCTACCATGAACATGTGCATTATTTCCGGAAGTTCAGCTTGATTACCAAGTTAAATTTGTACGGTCAGATTATAATGAATGACTGAAGTTCATTGTATCTAGTAGTTTTTACTGGATAAAAATCTCAAAAGGCTATTATAATATGCGTTACATTAAAATACAAAAGCATAATCTTCTAACTGGTCGTATTAATATATGATACAATGTACATGCTTTGGGTCAAGGAAAATATGTGGAAGTTATATAGTACATTTACTGAACTTGCTAAACGTAAGCTAAGTTTAAGTTAGCTGGATGGCTTATGAGTCTATGTTTCATTAAATTTAACGTAAAGTCTAAAACAGAGGTGTATAAAAAGCTTTTATTAACAAACCATACAAAATCATGTATAAAATATGAATCATTCGAGCAATAACAGACATACTGATGTATAATAAATTCAGTTTCCAATAAAAGATAAAAAAAACATTCTTTGATGAAAATATTAATCATTTTAGAAAATGTGGCAACAGCTAGCTGTCACGAATGTCAAGTACTCAATATTGGTAACGAAATCAATTATGAAAGTTCATTAGGGTACAGAGATGTTTCTCCGTTTGTTTTTATACTCTTCCATACATTTGCACTCACTCACTCACTCACTCACTCACTCACTCAATCACTCACTCACTCACTCACTCACTCACTCACTCACTCACTCACTCACTCGAACACCGTTCACTCAAAGCTTCCTTTATATTCATCCACTTTTTAAATTAAAACTGGTTGTCATATAATCCCTATACACGTTAATACTTTCTACTGATTTAAGGGCGATTGCTTATTAGAAATGCAATCTACAAATAAAGCTGCTTATTAACTCAAAACTGGAATAGATATAACATACGTGATAATTTACAATAATATTCTGTGAACTATTACTTACCACATACACTCACCCAGGTGCGCATACACGGACATTAAAACACACACACGCACGCACGCACACATAAGTGAATGTATGAAATTTATCGGTTATTGTTGTTTTTTTCTAAAGAATTTTTCTTTTCAAAAAGATTTAATTACAATGTACTACGTAAATGGGCAAAAAGATGTCCCCTTCAGCAAATAATTTCATGAAATACCAAGTTATATGAATATATACATGTATATATATGATATGCCTCCGGGAAAATACCGCTTAAGGTAATACATCTTTTAAATCAGATTAGTTAGTTAATTGATAGTCAGTACTCAGTCATTTTGGATTCATATTCGTAATTAGGTTAACATCTCTGACTTTGGGAAACACATGAATTGTCCAATCTCAAGTGATAATATGAATCATTCATTGCAGCAGACGTTGAAAGGAACGCCGTCATCCGGCAATTGTTGGCAACCACACTTTTCAGGCGTCCTTTCGTTATCTATTGCTCAAAATTATGCTTTGTAGATATTTGACACAAAAAGACCACGTTTAGTTAGCACATATTTCGAAAGTCAATGGTATCACATAAAAAAATAAAATAATGTACATAATGACGTCAGCAACAAGACGATACCGGAAGATGCCCTGGTGGCGCTGCTGTACCATCTGGCTGTGTTGGCTGGAAAAGACAGAAGTAAAAATGTACTTGTAATGCTCGATCTAAGAAATTTCATACTGGAATAATATATTTTTTTTTTCAAAATATTTCTTATCTTTTTATTTTTATACTCATTTCATCAGGGAAATTATACTAAGTTTTAACGATATTCTCAAATTCATTTTTCGCCGGCGTAAACTGATAAGAAATGAAATTAAAATGAATTAAAATGTCAATGAGGCATGGAATTTCTGACTGATTAATCTACAAAAGTCCGAGAAGTTTAAATTGAGAGATAACTTACCAACACCGCCATTGATGAGTCTAAGAGCTGGGCGTGACCTGATTGCACGTGATCTATGTCCCATCCAAAATGTGTTATAGTCTCGCACCACTGTCGCTCTGAGGGAGAAAAATCACAATTGGAATGAATTAATATTTAAGCGTTTGTATATAAATTAGATTTCCTGTTATAAATTGAGTGCATCAAAATGTTATGGTAATTATATAACTCTCAACCTTGTCACGAGGACATATATGCACGTGCATCTGGAACGATTGAAATTAATCTGAAATAATATGACCCTTTTCTATATAAATATATATCAGTTTATAGAATAAAAAATCACGAAACAAAATATTTCTATAAATTCATTACTTTCGTCTGGATTTGAAATTATCATTTTAAACTAAAATTTATGAATTTGCTCATTCATTGCATGTAATTTGATTACATTGGTATTACTCATAACAAGGCATATCTTCATGTAAAAAATGCAAAGTATGAATATAATAATATGTAACCCGGAGTTGAAAAATATGATGACAAGACTACTACTTACACAAACTGAACTGGCCTGTTGTAACCCACGGGCGGTATCCACTGTAATTGCACCATATTTTTGGGCGAACTTTCGGTGTGGGTCACTCCTGTGCCCCGGTTACACTGCATCCTCTGGCACATTACATTGCTATAAATATGCAAACAACATTAAAATGTTTTAGAATAATATTGACAAATTTAACGATTTTAGACTTGCAAAATAGAATGAATAGTACAATTCAATGTTAAATAAACGAAATAATTTGATTGCAATTAGCTACATTGTATATAAATGTTGTTGTGTTTTAAATTTTATATGATAAACAGAAATATATGCACTTTAGTAGAAATAAAATTAGCAAATATCACGTGTACATGTGCACTAAATACTAGTCAGCTTTATCAATTTCATCAGAAGGAGGTCCCATCTTAAGGCTACGAGTGTAAAATATAATAAAATCTTAATATTTTGATACTTAAGATGAAACTGGAATACCACGAATTTAACTATCAGGTATTCGACTTACTTGTTTATTTGGTTAGCTTGATTTCCCATAAAAGGATTATTTGGGTTAAAGTTGGGGTTGAATCCTGGGGGCACCTGTCGGCGACCTCTCCCGAACTGACCTTGCATCTGCATAACATTTGGATTGGCCCTTCCAACAACTTGCTGTTACGAAAGATATGCATGTAATATATTTAGACTTCACCGAAAAATAACAACAAAACAAGGCAAAAAAAAAGAACTTTAAAACTTTTAAAACCTTAATTGATACATATACATACTGTCCATAACTATTATATATTTCAGGAAACTGCTGTTGAAGTATGACTATGTTGGCAGTTTAATATTTCAACTTGTAGTAATCCGACAGTTGAGAAAAATGTGTAAAAAAATGCACGAATTGTAACAATATACTAAATCATCGTATAGTTTTGGATTTTTATCAAGTCACAAAATTACATACAGAAATGTAATACAATATCAAGATAAAGTTGATTGTATTGAAAATTAAACGTTTATTGTAATTGAACTAAAATTGCGTCCCATTTATGAAATTCGGATAGTTTGTAAATCTGTATGAATAACGAATATGGATATAAAACTATCACTAGCAGCCTTACCTGACCGTTCATATATCTATATTCTCCTATATACCGGAGTTGACCGTCGGGAGTTTTTGTTCGGGCTTGCAGGAGAAATCCCTTAAACTGAGCATTGAAGCGCCCTCTGCGTCCTCGAATACGAACTGAAAATACGACAGACAGTATGATAAAAGACAAGGTCGTTGATGATGATTTTAAAAAAATGAGGAATACAACATCGCAGGGCGGTCTTCGTAATTCTAACTCGAAAATGAAATGTAAAATTAAACATAGGACCATAGGCATTCGTTTCACAAGGATTTTTTTTAAACATCGATAAATTATTTTGTTTATATAAAAAGCTGTTATCTTATGTATACAAAATAATTAATCGAACAGTTCTTTTTTTTTTTTTGCATTTGAAAGTTAGTGCCTATGCATTGGAACATAAGATATTTTCACTAAAGGCAGAAAATTATAATTATGTTGATCATATTAGAAATGTTCGGGATGCGACCTTTAAATGTTAAAGAGAAAAAACGAACGAGTCTCACCAATAACACCGCAGTCCCGTTGTCCGTTCTGGGTACAGGGTACATAACCGTCCAAGTTTGTATCAATAATGTACGGAGTTGCAGTAGTTCTTCTCACGTTAGCACCGTGACCCGGCTTCATAGTATCACATGCCATTGGGTTGGCTCCAGTCCTGTGACCACTCACTGAGGTCCATACAAATATTAAACATATAAAGCTTAAAAACATTGCCATTTTTTCACGAAATTATAATCTTAAATATTCGTCGAGTCCTTTGAAAAGTATACGTACACACTTCGAGAAAACCTGTAAATTCACAAAGTACCGAAATTCATATTATATAGTGTTGATTTTTTAAAAACAATTTATCCTGTGCTCCTGCTCGGCGAAAGGTTTGAATGAAACTGACGGTGGACAGAGAAAGGCTGGTCCATTTTAACGAGTTTAGATGAGGGCTGCATATTTGATGAATGCGTTTATCCTAAGGTATTGAGTAAGGGTATTTCTATATCTCATCCATATGAAATGGATGGAATGTGTCAAGAGCGTCTATTCGGCGGCCTTCGTAATTTGCCGGCTTTTTCCGTCTCAGTTATAAATAAGACACACGGAGTTTTCCGACTACTCACGAATGTCACCGTACTCATTTGTACATCGCTTAGCAATGTCTCAATTAAATACTGAAACTGTCAAAAATTGATTCATAACTATTTTGTAACACCAAAAATATTTCGTTAACTTCCGGCTGTTTTTAAAATGATATAATAATTAGTAAACCCTGTTAGTGGTTTAAAAAATAAAAAATAAACATGTGTAATAAAGTTTATTAAATGATCATGGTCAGAAAGAACACCTTTAAAGATTTCTTATCAGATTTTTGTGCAAACTTTACACAGTTTTGATCAGGTTATTATTCTTTGTTATATTCACTTGCTTGGTATGAATTAATCCTTTGCAGTCTCGGAAATTTGTCGCCTGCTTGTTTTTTTATTTATTTAACCGAATTTCCTTGAAATCATGTTTTTCATTCTTGACATAATTTTAACTTAATAAATACGGTCATCGCTTTATTCTCGAATAAAAAACAATATTTGTAAAGCGGATACATCGTAAATATTTAACCTTGGCCTCTTGGCGGCAACTAAATCTAATTAGGATGGCTAGGAAGTGCCGTCTGATTATGGCATGTACTGGTCAGTCAGTTATTGTTTAGATCTTCTTCCTCAGAATGATAGTTTTGTCCAATTTGAAAGATGGACTTGCAAAAATGAACAAATACATTTTATATATACATAGCGTGGTAAATGTTAAAGTTAAAGTCGTGTAACGGCTCAAAGTTTTAAGCCTATAGATTACCGAGTGCAGAGTCATTCAATTTGAAGATTTAAAAAAAAAACTACATCTACATAATCTTGCCTCTAGTATGGTATATTCTAGTTAAAAATATAGATGTATAATTAACTCCATGACTTTGCCTTTATTTTCACAGTTACTGTTTGTTTCAATTTTCTGAAATGCATTTTGTATATAAAGATATCTATCATTGATGGCAAGGTTGCTCAATTGTATCTTACTTCGACACACTAAAGAGATGTTTTGTTTCTAACTTTACTCCTTGAGGAAGACCACCTTACCACTTCTTGCATTATTTCAGGCACGAGCCGGCACCCGAGTAGAAACACCGTCGTGCCGTAAGCTAACTATATAGATAGCTTCCTTGCATGGAAGATTCGAGTGTCCCTGACGGAATTAGAACACACAGCGGTAAGTTGCAAATGAACAACCACTGGACCACGGAGGCCCCAAAGCGTTTTTATAGTACATAGCATAAAAGTGTCCAGCTTAAAGGCAATGATCTTTATACATAAATAATATATTATCCCTAGATGTTAAACTAACAAGCAAATTCGTTGAATTTATATCCCCCGCCGAGTACTGGTTATTATTAACACAACAACTGAAGACATAAGGCTTTATTTATATATTAATCATGGCATAAACAGTAATATTCTTTGAACTTGATAAATATTCAGGACAATAACAGAGCCATAACTTTGTGTTAAATAGTAAAATCTGGAAATGCCAATGAGATGTATGCATACTACATAACTAATCAAGGGCCATAAATCTGAGTTATAAGTATCTGACTGGAACAAGGCGACTATATGCACATCTCCTCTTAGTATCCCATAAAGTTTCATTGAATTCCAGCCAGTAGTAGCGGAAACAAATATTTTTCTATATGGATACTGCATAACTAATCAAGGGCCATAACTCTGAGTTAAAGTGTCTGACCGGAACAAGCCGACGATATACGGACGGATGGACGGAAGTTCTAACAGGAGAGTAATTATGTGGCTACTCTATTGTTCTCTCTATTGTTCTTTTTAGCCACGCAAAGAAAATAGCCACATAAAAGCATTACGGAATGAATGACATCAAAGAGAAAGAACAGTTACCTATTGTCCCTCCAGCCACATAATTACTCTCCTGTGAGAGCGGACGGACGGACGGACGGACAACGCCAAAACTATATCCCCCTCCCGATTCCATCGGCGGGGGATAATTATTATACTGAAAAGTTTATTTTGAATATATGTAAACATTACTGTTTACCCTAACCTGGTTTATAAGCGGAGAATACTGGATGGGTACAAGCGGAAACACGTGCAAGTTACCATTTAGTTCCCTGAGCAGTATGATACCAGTATGAAGGGTTGTATGTAATAAAAGCATCCCCAGGCATAGTAAATAAATGTCCATAATAATATTAAAAATCTCGTTTCCAAAGTTTGCATATTTAATCAATAAATGCCATGAAGTTTGGTCATGAGTCCGTTGGGGGGAAAGACTATGGAGAATCACATAACTATGTACAGCCTTCACACAAGATCGGCAACAGTCTAGTATGTAGAGATTAATGCACTTTATTGGAAGAAAAAAATCCAGGCATTTCCTTAAATTTTTAGCCGTACACTTTCCAGAATTTTCCGCCGTGCACTTTGTCATGAGTCGTGTTGATTTGCCAGCCATATCATTTCATTAACATCTTTCTTAAACAGGAGCAGAAAGTGTAAAATAGTCAAGTTCATAAACACTTGTGTACTTGCAACTTATTTTATTTATGATAGTCACTCATAAAGTTATAAGAAATGCAAATGTATACTTGTATATATTTATTTTTGCAAATAAAATTGAGACCTTCACCGTGAAATTCAATATAATACATGGTTATCATTTAAACATACATGTATTTATAACAATATAATTTTCAACATACATTTTTTTCTGTTTACAAAAACACCATCTGAATTCATGTACATTAAAGATACTATACATCCAAATATTTTAAACAGTCATATCAATACAAATGTATTCTACATAATCAGGTGAATTCCATTTGAACATAAACATTGTAAAAAATGAACAATGAATTTTGCAAAATTAGTAAAGACAACATAAAATTAAAGCTACATTTGAGCAACAAAAAAAAAGAACTTGGACAACTGGTCTTGCTTATCTCAAAACATTAGATCTACATTTTAGCCGCGCCACGACAAAACCAACATAGTGCGTTTGCGACCAGCACAGATACAGACAAGTCTGCGCATCCGCTCAGTCTGATCTGGATCCATGCTGTTTGCTGTCAGTTTCTCTACTTGTAATAGAGTTGGTAAGCGAACAGCATGGATCCTGATCAGACTGCGCGGATGCGCAGACTGGTCTGGATCCATGCTGGTCGCAAACGCACTAAATTGTTTTTGTCATGACGCGGCTCATTTATAGAAAAATATAACACATAAACAAGAGCTGTCAGTAGGACAGAGTGCTCGACTTCTCTCAGTGCTTGATAGTAAAACAAAGAGCCTTAGTAATGTAGAATTTTTTATGTTCTAAAAGGGCCATAATTCTGTCAAACTCCATGTTAAAGTTAGGGGATCTCCTATTATGCTCTCAAATAAGTGAAAGTTCCTACTCATTCTTTACAGTACTCTTGGGGAAAACACTTTGCACACAAAAACCTGAGAAAATTAACTAGAGTGAGGCGGACACCAGTGTTGGGTACAATAATGCTACCTATTCTTCCACTAGTCGAGCTTAAAGGACTAGAACACATAAAATACATAAAAGACAACAAAAAAAACAAAAACAAAAAAAAACACAGTTTATATCCATGTATCATTAGAGAAAGCATCACTTTTGTTACAGGTGAGATCCTAAAAAAATACATCTGACAACAGCTGACAACTGACAACAATGTTTCTGACATTACATGATATGAACTTAGGCAAGAGCTAATATGACAGACAGATACATGTGAGAGAGTTTTCAAAAAAGCTTTTTTATCTTCCTACTTAATCGGTGAAGTTTATTTTATGTACTGTGCACTGTCAGCCATCTTTAATTTTCAACAAACTTTGTCTCTTAACTTCATTTGATTCATGGTAACAAACTCCCCCCTCCCACCCTTGCAGGCTTAATTTGATAATAAAAAAAAAATAATTAAGAAAAATATAATTCAGTATCAGAATGTTGAAAAAAAAAAATTAAAAAAAAACAACATGAAATGGGAAGGTTGATGAACAATTGCTCTCATTATTGCAAACAAAATTACTTGTGAAAGTTTATGCCTTAAATCTATAATTTATGAGAATATTTTTCTGAAAACCAAAAGAAGAAAATTAAAGCACAGAAGAGGCTGAATTTGTTTGGGTCTCAGGATGTCAGAAAGATGAAGGTTGTGAGATTATAAACCAATTTGTTTTTGTATTATAGTGCCACCAATGCTGTTTCCAGTGTTATAAATGTAGTTAACTGGCTATAAGGCTAATTGCAACACTAATATTCACTTCAATGTTTATTTGGCTTAAACAATTAAAAAAAAAACAACAACATAAAAAACAACAAAAAACATGAGTTGCCTAGGATTTGAACTCCAGACCCTTGCTTCTTAAACGAGCGTGTAACCCCTCTACCATGGAAAATTTTAATATAACAGATTGAAGAAAATCATATTATTCTAAATTAGGGTTTGTAACCCTTATTAATTTCAAGATATTTTGTTCATGGTAAACCTCTTGTTTAACACTGATGTAAATAATCATATAGCTTAATGTAAGCATGTATATCTGTAAAGAAAAATGCAATATTAGAGATCTTCCCAGAAAAGGCTTGAAAATTAATGTGCCTGTCATTTGACAATCCTTACGCAGTGATCTCCCCTTAATTTTTCGGCGTTAGTGTACTTATAAAGGGAAGTAACCGCTTTGAGGAGTTCGGACTACTTTCGGATTTTGCAAATAAGAGAACCAGGGTCTGAAATTTCGCTACCATCATTTGTTTGGTCTGACGACCCAAACAAGTACGTTTAATACTAAAGTTTTTGAACTTTAAAATAAGAATGGTAAACTGTTAAAAAGAGTCATTTTAATTGACACGCCTATAGTGCGACGCTAATATTAGAGCACTTTAATGCTATGTATGTATATAACGCAATTGACGTCATGTAAAGTGTTATTACATTAGTGTGATATTGTTGTTATTAAATGGCTTATTACACTTCTGCGCCACGGTTTAAATGATAAACATGCATAAATACAGTAACTTTAGTAAAGAAGTGACATTAATCACCATCAACAAAAAGCACAGATATACATGATATAAAAAAGTGAGCAATTTGAGCAAAAGCAATGTTATTAAAGCCAACTGTAGTAAAAAGAGCACAAGGATATGTTTTAACATCTTCTATCTTTATCAACATGGCACATGGATTAAAGAACAATAATAATGATAATAATAATAAAATCACCAAGTGTTTAATACTGACTATCTGTTATAAAGTAAGTAAATATAGTAGTGATAATCCACATAATATGAGTCATAATAATACATATAATATTGATGCTGATTAGGCATGGTTACAAAATTCTAAATTTTTGAAAAAAATTCTCCAATAAATAAGTAGATTTCTTCTTTATAAATGATATCTAAATACATGTAACAATATATTGACCATTTAAATATATGTTCATTTGTTGCTTTTTTTTAATATGAGAGTAAAAGAAAATGGAATGTTTCATAAATTCACAGCAAAAACTGTAATTTACAGTATATTTGGTCTCTTTACAAAAATTGCATAAAAATGTTCAAACACACGCACACAACTATATATTATAATAACATAAAAAATATACACATATAAATTATTCTATTTTTACAAAAGCATTTTTTGTCTTTAAGATTTAACTATAAAATTATCCTATAAATTCAATTAAATAATGTTGAAAATAAGCTACAAATGGATTTCTTTAACAAAATGTGTAACTCTAAAATATGGCACTTATTGACGAGTTATATAAAGACATTTAGTACTAATCTAAAATGCTAAAATATTAAAATAATACTGTTAAAATTATGATATCTTTTTATGATTACACAAACCCATATATTGCTGAATTTTACAAAATGAACTGGCAACCAACTGTTATACAGAAACAGTCCATTATTAAATTTATGGATATCAGGATACAAAATATATTTGGATAATTGGTCGTACAGCAGTTTGGAGCCTGGTCTGACTGTATGGATGTACAAGCTGGTCGTACAGCAGTTTGGAGCCTGGTCAGACTGTATGGATGTTCAGACTGGTCAGACTGTATGGATGTACAAGCTGGTCTGACTCTATACTGATGGCAAAGGTTTGAACCTTAAATTTGAACTAATATTGTAGTGCAGGAAATGCTAAAAAAAATCATAATACCATACAGGAGATGTTAAAATCATACAACAGTTGCTAAAATTATTTCATAGTACCATACAGGAGATGCTAAAAAAAATTTGTTGTACCTACAAATGCTAAAATTCTTTCTATTTAATAAAATGCAAAACTCTTCTTTTTTTTCCTTGAAAACTTGAAATTGCAATTATGGCCAAAAATCACAAACTATGAATACAAGTTGAGTTAATCAAATATCCTAATTAAGCAACTAATTGTAAATAAAACAATAACTGGATATGTATTGGTGATAAATTTTAAATTAAGAAAAACATGAACAAGAGCAATCAGTGACCACCTGTTTCGCATGATGATAAGACAATACAGTTGTTGTATTTGGGGGGTGATAAGACAGTTTGTTCCCTTAATGTATATGTTGCGACTTTGTAGTATGTCTCTGCTACTGTGAAGCAGGAGACACAAAACGTTCAATCACATTTTTTATTCTAACTCTAAGAGCTATAACTCAGTCAAAGATCATTCTGAAAACACATTAAATATTGAATAATTAGTATAAGAGAAGTAGTTTGGGCATAACATTGAACTGGAAAATGCTGACAAAATGCACAAATTAACTTGGTACTGATCATGATGAAATTGCACCAGTTAATTTTGGATGAGTAGTCAGGACAAGTTTGTGACAGATAGACAGATGATAGAAAAGTGATCTTTGTAAGTACTGTATAACTAACATATTTTTTTATAAATGGCCAAACCTCAGCCAAAAATCATTCAACCAATAACACTAGTAACATTCGCAAATACATGAGCTACTTATCATTCCTGTAAAGTTGTATATATATATATATATTGCACCAGAGATATAAGAGAAGTATTCTAGACAAGTTTTAAAAAATAAAATCATTAAAGGGCCATAACTCTTACAAAAATCATTGAACTGGAAAATGCTGATTATATAAACAACTAGATTTAGTACTGATCATTCCTATAAAGTTTGGATGAAATTGCACCAGCAGTTATTGGGAAGTAGTTCGAACAAAGTCTGTAACGGAAGGACTGACATTCTCCCTGAGTTGATGTTACAGATTTTTTCATCGTAAAATTCTCATAAACAATGTATTTTCATCCCATAAGCAACTTTTCCCCACAAATACAAGCCTGCACAGAATGAACATGGATATTCATCCTATAATGTCACTTGAGTCGCTATGGACAGACAGACAGACGGACAGATTACTGAGAAGCGATTCCTACAGTCGCTGTTACTCTGTAGCAGGCAACATAACAAGGTTTAGATAACTAATGTTCTATACATCACACATGATACCATAGTATTTCAAAAGTTAACAAATGATAATGTACAAGTGTTGTATCACAATTTCAATAAAGACACATTTAATTTTTTTTTATTTGAATTCACTTTAGAATTAGCAAAATTATCATTCTTTAAACTGGAAAAATTTACTTACAAAATATCTTTTGATGCATAAGTAAAAGATAAATCAGTGCTAAAATATATTAGAAACATAATACTGAATGGTTTTTGCTATATTTGCGACAAAATATTTTAACTTTAATTACATGTATTAACAAATTATAAAATACTTTTTTAAGCATATTAGGCTTTTATGAATTGGATCCAGTAATTCAATCATTATTTAAATATATGTACCTGTATATTCCAAAAACTCGTACATAAAACTAAAAGATTAACATCTTACCCGCTGACTGTGCACTGGACCAATTTGTCTATTACATTTTATAAGGGATTTCAATAACAAAATACTAAAACTGAGCAACCATAAGTAGAGAGCCTCGGCAGACTGTACAAGAGTAAAGGCTGGCCTGAAACTATACTAGTGGCAAAGAATAACTTTCTGATCCAGCAGATTAAAGTTTAAACATCATTAAGTATGTAATTCAAAATTACACATTATATACAATATTGTACAAGATGAACTTTGCAATAAATGCGATTGTGTATATAATGAGTGGGCATTGTCAATGGTTGGAGTCTGTAGAAAATCTTTCATGATTCTTGGACTGCACATTTTTTGTATTTCATTACTTTAATATCTTAATATTATACCAATACAACTAAATAATATCTTTTTTCCACATACTTACAATATGCTATATTTTTATAATTACTTATTATGCGAAAAACATAGAAATTAAAGTCACATGGCTTGGGTACACCTTTATCACAGAGTTCACCTTGTCCTACACTAAAGTATTTATATTCTATATTATTTTATTAATACATCTTATCTCGGACATAGTTCACTCATTTATATTTTGTCTGCAACTCCATTAATTATTGTAGAACTTCCGCTTTCCATTCTTCTGTTTTTTATTGTGTCCATTGACTTGTGTTGAGCCATTAACATTCTGTTTATCTGACTGCATGTTGCCATGACTACGAGACTTTGAGGACCCTTTCACTGCCTTTCCCCTGAGACTGAACCTGAAATTAATTAACAATGATGATGTCTTCATAAATAATAGTAATGTCTTCATTAGCAATGGTAATGTATTCATTAACAATGACAATGTCTTCTTTAACAATGGCAATGTCTTCTTTAACAATGGCAATGCCTTTTTTAACAATGATTATGTCTTCTTGAATAACAGACATGTCTTCATTAACAATGGTTATAATTTAATTAACAATGACAATGTCTTCATTAACAATGACAATGTCTTCATTAACAATGGCTATGTCTTCATTAACAATGACAATGTCTTCATTAACAATGACAATGTCTTCATTAACAATGACAATGTCTTCATTAACAATGGCAATGCCTTCTTCAACAATCATTATGTCTCCTTGAACAACAAACATGCAAACATGTCTTCATTAAAAATGGAAATGACTTTAATAACAATGGTTATGTCTTCATGAATAAATAGTAATGTCTAAATTAATAATTTTAGTTCTAAGTTAGTTTGCAGTTTATTTGAAGCACTCTGGTAATAAATACTTCCACTCTCATTGAGCATACATTGTTGCGAACACCATCCACAGAACTTTAACCAACAATATAACTTAGCTTATGGTCATGGTTACCTTAACAACTAGGCCGCCTATTCTGTTAGCCAATGAAAATTAAAGATTTTAATGCTTGAATATAATCAAAATTACCTTTTATTATCATTACTATTATTTTTGTTTACCTTTTCTGAAGATGATAACTAATCCATGTTCCAATGATTGGCCCCACCCAGTAAATAAGGATATGTGCTGCCCCAGAGGTGTCCCCACAGCCCCAGGTATGCCCTGTTGCCATTGCCGGGTGAATATACATTCCAGTTAGATGAACACCTGGAAAAAAAATCTACATCCAGTAACAGGAGAAATCTTGACAGGAATCTTTACAGTTCATTTCATTAACAACATATAATGATACATAATATAAAATTATTTTTTTTTAAATTCCCCTACCTAAATTTGAATAATGGACTTGTCTTGGAATTGAATTTGGATTGCTGATGTAAATGTTTTTGATATCTAGCAGTTAACAGTAAAGCACACAGTCGATTTTGTTGACATAGACTAATCATTATCATCACAAGCATTAAAGTGTTTTTATAGAGCTAAACATTAAATTTTGATGTTTGTGAACTGTTAAATAATTGTTTATAATGTGATTAAAATGATTTATAAATAATGAATACCTAGAATGAAAGAAATTTATCACTGTATTTATTATAATTGAGTTTGGCATCCCTGTATTCATCTCCAAACTTACTAAAAATAGCAGCTGAATATTTTGTTCTAGGACATTTTATTCTGGTTACGTATAATATTCATGTATATTAAATTACATATAGTCATTCTATGTAACGAATTAGCCAACTATGGGTATAAAAAATAATTTTTTACTGTTTTTAAAATTTTATAAAATATTTCATCAGATATAGCTTTAGAGCTCTGTTTAAATTTTCTTTAACATATTTTATTAAGCAATTATATTTATTATACAAATTTCAACTGAACCTGCAAATTTTTGTTACAATGTATTAAATAAACTTATTTGATACAATGCAAATATCAAATTACTACATCAGCTAATTGATAAATAAATAAAAAGTCTACAAACAAAACACTTTGACTTTCCTTGTAAGGTATTGTGCTAAAACAAATCTGTTGCTTATTCAATCTGCTTAAAATGTTCTAAAATCCACTTTTTTTTAAACTAAAGAATATTCTTGCCTTTAAAGCTGATTCATGAGCATTAATCTCTTGTACACCAAAATATCAAGAGTATTAAAAATTGTTTTACCTGATACGACAAGTAGGCCACTATTAACCACCTTGATGACAGTATCAAAATAAAGGTTCCTTGTAAAAGTCTGGTTCACGAACCAGCAGTCATAGATCACTGCACAAAATTCAATCAAGAATCCAACATATACAGGTACATGGAGATCCGTGGAGCAAAACTCATCATAGTACTCCTTGACACGTGCTACATACATCGGATGAAGTTCAAGCCCAAGTATGTAGATGCCGAGACGGTATGCTGCAAATCCTGCAGCGATCTGGATTAATGTTTTAAGGATACATTTCCAAAGTGGAATGATTCTCCTGTAGTACTGAAGCCAGACAGATATTGGGTTTCCGTCGCCACCTCTTAACGTCATCAGCGACAGAAACATGGTTGGAACCATGGCACTCATGTATCCTGATTCCCCGTAATTTTTTCTCATAATGCCATGCCCAAAGGGGAATGTACAGAATGTCATTGTTTTAACAAAGTCCAGAACGTATATTCTAACCGATGAAGGTACGACCATTCTCGTAAAAGTGTGCAGTAAAAGGCCAATGATATAAGCAGACATGTATATAAATATTGCCGCTGGCAGTGCTGGTAGAAATTCCTTTCCAGGGTCCCATCCTGTCACTGATTCAAACATTTTATTCCAGCCAAAGGCATATTGTTTGTCCTCTAACAATGTCTCCATTTTCTAGAAGTTGACCTTGAGTGCTTTGTTAGATCTGTAAAAAAAAACACCACATTTTTAGACTATATAAACATATTGATAATTCTGTAAAATATATATATTTTAACTTTAAGTATTTGGATTTATGAAAATTCATGGCACTGGTATAACTTTAATTTGCATTGAAAAGTTGTTGGTGCCTCATTTTTTAATGGTCAAATAAACAACAGTTACTGATCATTTGATTTTTACATTCAACTAATATTTAGTGATTAAATTAATCATAGTTTTTTCGGGGTTGATTAGGTGATAAGATTACTATTTAAATACCATAATTGGAAGAAGTCTTTTATTGATTGATCAGTACTGTAAAGTGTACTGCGATAATTAAAAGCATACATGTGAACTCTCCCACTATTAGCGGGTGACTCCCACTTTCTGCAGCCATACATGTATTTTGAAAGATTTTTCTTAAAATAAGGGGTATTTTCATAAATTTAAGAAATCTCCCTCCTTTTGATGTCCGAACTTTCTTCTTTGTTTATAGCAAATTCTAAATTCTCCCTCTTTTTGAAGAAAAATCTCCAACATGATCATCAAAAAAAGTTCACATGTATGATTTTGACAGGAAAAGTACATTTTATCATTTGATTGCATTTTTTATCTTCAGTGTATTTTCTAACTTCAAATCAAATCAAAATTTATTTATTGTCGGTATATATCCTAGAGTCATTAGTTTTGACGCCCTTAAGCTGTTTAACTAGTGCAATTTTTTTATATTGAACTTGATCGTTAAATAATATACAATGTAAAGTTACTATGGCATGTTGTTTATCACTGCAAACCATTTTTATGTTTGTTAAAAATTCAAAATCAGTTAAGTTTTGTACTTGAGTAAACAGACCGTGGAGGCATCCATTGCTGTTTACAGTCATATGAAATGACGCTTTTTCATTGGGTGGTTATTTTAAAAGGATATTTCACTGTAACGTAATATGAACAGCAAAAGAATATTTTTAATGAGCAAACATGCAATGAAACAACATCGTGAAAACTTAAAATTATGTTTTATTTCATATAAAACTGTCCATTATTTAGGAATGCCATACACCCTAGCAGTGGTCTTAATAGGTGCACCTGTCTCTTTCACTTTGAATGTATTTACCATTAATCTTGATGAATAGCATCTGTATTTGGCTTACAGGGCTGAAAAATATATCTAAAATGAAAGATGTTGCAAAGATATGTATATGTTGATTTGAAAAAATGATTTTTTTCTTTCTTTTTTAAACTTTATATACAATAGTTAACCTATTATGAATTTTACTCAGTATCAATTAAAAACCAATTAACGTTTTCAAACAATATAAGCTGTACACCTTATGCTACAGTGAATATTAAGGACACTTTGCTGAAGTTTTGGTCACATGACACTCATAAGACATTTTAAAATGGAGGATAGAAACAGAAAAGGGCAGGTCAAGATTTTTCAAAGGCTTTATTTGCAAAATTATTGCTTGCATGAACATCGATTGAATTTGCATTAGTAAAAAGATGAAAAAATACAGTAAATTTGATAAAGGTGAAGTATTTTCAGTGAAATGTCTCTGTCTTTCCACATGTTTTAGTTATACGTTGTAAGTACATGCTTGCAGTGCAGTCAGCAAATTATGACGTCATGCGAGGTCGTTTTCGTCATTTGTTAGGTCAAAACAAAAATGGCGTCAAAATAGATGAGCGTCAAAACACATGACCGGACGATATATATAACATTTTACATAAATTTTCGGACATCGTAACTGTATTAGCATTCACTTTTAGATATTGATAATACATTTTACAGTAGCGAATGTACAAATAGAATCTGGGACAGAAAGATACATTGTTAGTCCCAAATAAAATCTATCAAATATTTTGTGTTGATCTATTTGACTGTGTTAAGATAGATCTGCTAAAGGTGTTATCTTTTCTGTCAAACATCTGGAAATAAAATAATTGGGAGTGAATCGTCTATACAATTGACAAAAGTGGGAGTGAAACATCTAGATTTGAACCATCTTGGGGGTGAAACGTCTCAATAGTGAAATTTTATGTCTTCAACTCTTGTGTAAGTTGTGGATTGAACCGTCTGGCATTTCCCACAGTGACACCAAAAAATTGTGGAAAATGTACAGTCCACTGTGGCAAGCCAATGTTGGGCACTTCAATGTCATTTGATGGTCTCTATAGAGCAAGATTTTACGAGGCATTTTCAATATTAGTCGTAGAAAAGATATTCAGATCTACCTGTTTCATAAAAGTAACTTTCTGACACATCAAAGTCTTACAGAGTGCTGCCCCTTGGATTTTAATCTCAATCAACAAACGCACTTAATCAGACAACTCGATTCAAGCGTCCGATTACTTAGCACGTGAAAATGGAAAATTTACCTAATTTTAAGAATTTGACAGCCAGCGATTATGGCAGACCAAAGGAAACACAGAATCAGGTTTTTTATTTTTATAAATATCACATATACCACTAATATAAGGTTAATAAATGTATGTGTCTACGAAAAAACATTTATATCACTGGTTTTCGCGACTAGTCAACATTGTTATTTAGTGTTGATTTTGTATAGCAATTATAATTTGACATTAAAATAAAGTCGTCACGTTACTTTTTAAAAAAGAATTTAATTTAATAACTGTTCTCCTTGCAACAGTGTTGCAGAAGGTCTTATTGTTTGGTTTAAGCAGGGTCAACTTGGCTAAAAAATCTTTAAGAAGTTCCATTTACTTTTTTCTTTTAAATTTAACATACTGGGATCCTTCATATTTACCAAACAATCAGTTTATCAGACAAAATCTATTCCTGTCAAATAGAACTTAATTTTTTTAAATAAAAAAGTCACCTGGCCTGAATCACGCAAAAAATGTCCATTTTGAAGTAAATAACAACAAAACCAGTCACAGGTAAATATTGTTGATTCAGTTCTTTATTTACTTACATGCCCTATTGTTTACTGTGCAATTTCATGGCCTGGTCACATGGGAATTATTTTTTTCTGTGCATGCCTGAATGTTGAGGCTCTTAATGGGTTATTTTTATCAGTTTTACTTTTACATATTCTCTGCATTATCTTAATAGCAGACAATCATAACATATTTCAATGATAAAACATATATTTAAATTTACTTCAAACAGTAATTCGTTGTTGTCTTTTACAAAGAAATGCATATTAAAAACCATATAAACCGGTTATGACAAGGGTCGAAACTCTACATGAAATGTAAATAAAATGAATCATCTGGCTTTTACAGGCTTCATGATGACCAAAAGGAATCTGTATGACGAGGAACAGAATTCAAAATGAATATCAAAAATTTTAATTCATTAAATGACTTATGAAGAATCAATCAATATATGGGCATCTTCGTAACACTGAGCATGACTGCCATACTCAGTGTCTATTTTTAGTGACATCTTGGCGTTTTCCAATATCTTAACCTTGCCATTTAACAGTCCTAGTTCCCTGGCTGATTGTTTAAAGATTAATTTCAATGAATGCACAACTTCAAAATATTTTAAAAAAAGGGCTCCTGGCCTCAATGGGGAAAAATTGTGTAGCAATTTGGGAAACTTGAGAATTTTTCCATTGTTGTCAAAAAACTACAATATACAGGACTTATAAGTTTTATTCATGTATAAGATCATATTATTATTTTAACAGGCAGGTTAAAATGAAAAAATAAATATCATATTTCTAGAAAAATAATAATGATATTTCATTTAAACGTTGTTTGTTCATTGATTATAATATAATGACATAAACAGATAGAAAAATATTTATTTATTGTCACTTTTTTGATAATTATTTCCCCTTTTTAACCAGGTTTTCACGAAAACCGGGTTATTGAAATGCAGAAGTCGGCAGGTGGGCGGGCGTCAACTTTTGGTTTCCGCTCAATAACTTTAGTTTGCTTTGGCCTATTGACACCAAACTTTGTGTGTAGCTTATATCAAGAGTCAGCTTGGGATTGCTAGCCAGGTGTCTGTGATCAAGGTCAAGGTCACTGTTACTAAAAATAGAAATTCAGTTTTCGCTCAATAACTTGAGTTTGCTTTGGCCTATTGACACCAAACTTGGTGTATGGATAGCTTATATCAAGAGGCAGCTTGGGATTGCTAGCCAGCAGTCTGTGATCAAGGTCAAGGTCACTGTTACTAAAGATAGAAATTCAGTTTCCGCTCAATAACTTGAGTTTGCTTTGGCCTATTGACACCAAACTTGGTGTATAGATAGCTTATATCAAGAGGCAGCTTCTGATTGCTACCCAGGTGTCTGTGATCAAGGTCAAGGTCACTGTTACTAAAAATAGAAATTCAGTTTCTGCTCAATAACTTGAGTTTGTTTTGGCCTATTGACACCAAACTTGGTGTATGGATAGCTTATATCAAGAGGAAGCTTGGGATTGCTACCCAGGTGTCTGTGATCAAGGTTAATGTATTTAGTTTTCATGTTATAACTTTAGTTTGCTTTGACCTTTTAACACCAAACTTGCTGAGTGGCAGCTTTGGATTGCCATTTAGATATCTGGGAGCAAGTTCAAGGTCATTTGCTGACAATAGAATTTTCAGCTGCTACTCAATAACTTCAGTGCACTTTGACCTATTGATTGCTGTCACATCAAAACTTGGTCGTTGAAAACCTGGTTTTCGTCGCATTGTGGCGCTTCTTGTTCATGTTTTATAACACATAATTTTTGAAGTTCTTAAAAAATATGTTATATATGCAAAGTATAAAAAAAGATAGGTTAAGTAACTTCTTTATTGCGCCAACAACTGTCAGCATACATTTCAGAGAAAACTTCAAATGTTCAGTGTCAAACTATTGTCAAAAAATATAATTGCCAAAAACAGAATACTTAATCCAAATATATGTAAAATACAATAAACTTGAGCAAAATTAAGATGTTGGTCACATTTCTGTTAAGAACTTTAAGTAACAACATAATTTTTATGAACTTCAAATACATTGTATATTGTTTCCTGAATATAACTAGAGGGGAAATTTGAAGTTGAGCAGGACTTGCCTTTTGGTAACTTCATTTGAAAAATTATACCAGTTGTTTCTAATTAAAACACCCAAGCATTAATCTGGATTAAATCAACGTCATGTGCATATCTGTCCGTACACATGATACTGTAGTGTGGACAAATTTAGGTAATTTTGATACCCTCCTTGACGGGCCTCAGATATATGTGCCAACATAAATACTTATATAGAAATAAACAAATTAGTTACAAGGAGAACCTATCTGTACTGTGTCATTTTTTAGAACTCAAGCTTTAAAATAATGAAATCTGTATGGAAAAATGTTCAAAAAGTGTGCAGTTGATGGTCCCCTACCAGTATACTTACATTTTTTTTAGTGGTGATTTGTCATACAATTTTACAAATATCGGCAATTTTTTTATTTAATTTATAGAACAAGCAGCGGTTAAATACTGAAGGGGGAAATTAATATAAAGCTATAAAGCAGAAAAAGGGAAAATCTGCAATTTAACAAACATTTGATGAACTGTTTATTAAAGTTTTAAAGGCAAGATACATGTACATTTGTATTAGACATCTTTTGTAATTTATTGTTTTAATTGCTATAGATATTTGAGCAATATCATTTAAACATTGATTGTGACCCTCAAACATTAAAGTCTTTGACAAGTGCATATGTCTAATATTTTTGGTTTATATTGCCTTAACAGACATTGACATTCTTTTTTACATAAATTATTTCTTGAGACGCTTATAACTGCTTTCAGAATCTTCAAGATCTTGTTAGGCCGCACATTGAATCTTTCAACTGTATTTTACATGAAGGATTGGGAAAAATCATTGAGGTAAGTCATTTCCTCTATTTGTTCTTTATGTTATTGAAAAGGGCTTGCCGTGGAAGTTTTGATATCAATATAAATATATCATCAATTTTCAACAAGTGATTCAATATTGATTTGCAATTTGGAATATAAATGCATCAATTTCATAGCATATCTCCCTTTTTTTGTCTGAAAGGAGAAGTCACTTCAAACCCCTTTTCTTGGCGACTTTGAATTTAGAATTTAATTTTCTAAGGTCAATGAGAAGAAATAACAAGAAAACTGACTTTCTTTTAGAATGCTGTATTTGTAAAGACAAAAACAAGCATGCATGACACAATTGTGACAGTTTATATCACATATTCAAATGTTTTCAATTGTAATAGTTATTGACTTTGATTTATGTCATAGATAAATTGTATTTTAGGCTTTTGATATATCAATATTCAGTTATTCATCGATGATAGGCCAATTACGCCAATATGTGGCTGTGTTATTTATTTCTATCCTTAATACATGTCAAGAAGTACGAAATATTACCCGTTATAGTATAGGGGTTTCTTATTTTGCAAATCTTTGTCATAGAATAACAATAATCAGGCAATTGTTCCTACAGAGCTAACTAGTAGTATAAAGTACAAAATTATATATTTATGCAATAATTTGATTTTTCTTAAATTATTGTAAACTAGTTTTTCATTATTCATATTGCAGAATTCATTACCTGTGGAGTTTTCCTTGCCAAATGGTGATCGTGTAGCTCTAAGCCTTCAGGTACTGTTAACAAATATTCAAATTAAAATTTGGATTGGACATCAAATAATATATCTTTGTTATTCTTTTTACATAGTTACATACCAGTTAAGATTTTTTGTTTGGTTTTAAAACACACCAACACTTACTTATACTTGGTGTTTTTCCAGCCTCGCTGATAGAGGATGATGGAGGAATATGTTATATGTCACCTCAGTGCTTTATTCAAAGTGTTTGATTTTGTGTGAGATTTAAAACTCTACCAAAGAAACCTCCCTCAGGGGCTGAATAAGATATTTATAGTTTACCTTTTGCCTTGGTATTTTTTCTTTGTTAGACAAGTACACATAATTATGAAGTAATTAGGTAAACATTAAGAATTGAATCCAAGGTATAATAATATTGTTTACCTATTTATCTGTAATTATCAAAGTTGTATTTTTTTTATGTAGGATATTATAATTGGCAGTCCCAAAGTTCATGAGAAGGCAATATGCAGGACAGCCAAGGTCTACCCAGCAGAGGTATTTATCACATACCCATTCCGCTTTTATGATTATAAAGTGTAATAAATAGAATATTATATTATTTGTGTAGCTTCTCTACTTAATTTATTGCTTAACTTATCGAACTTGTTGACTAAGTCTAAGATAATACTATGCTCGCCAGAGGCTTGCAAAATATAACTTCATTCAACTTGTTCAATAAATTCAGAATGCAACCTACACTCATTCAGTATCCTCTATTACATGTGCAAATCATGATTATTTTAGAATATTAACCCTTTACCTGCTCATTGTATGTTATGGGCCATTTCTCCTAAAGTATAAAAGCAATGGACATGAATCTTCATAGGATGATAGATCTAATTGATTAGAAGTGCAGTGCACAGAAACTGCTCTGCGCTTCTTATTTTTAGCTCGACTATTCGATAAGAATAAGTAGAGCTATTGCAGTCACCCGAGCGTCGGCGTCGGCGTAACCACTTATGTTAAAGTTTTTGTAATAGTTCAAATATTTTCAAAGTCCATTGACATATGGCTTTGAAACTTTGCACACTTGTTAACCATCATAACCCCAACCTGTAAACAGGAGGAGGTAACTGTATCAAGCATTTTTTTTACTATCAAGCACTAAGAATAGTCAAGCGTTGCTGTCCTACCGACAGCTCTTGTTTGAGTTATTGCCCTTTTGTTAATCTTCATACTTTATTTTTTTGTCCAGGCCATTTCTCCTGAAGTATAAAAACTATGATCTTTCAACTTCATAGGATGATAGATCTCATTAATAAAGAAAAAGTGCAGTGTACAAGAACCGGTACTCTGCACTTCTTATCTTTCCTTTATTAATTTTCATACTTTATTTTTGTCCAGGCCATTTCTCATAAAATATAAAAGCTATAGACTTGAAACTTCATAGGATGATAGATCTTATTGATAAGAAGTGCAGTGCACAGAAACTGCTGCTCTGCACTTATTTTGTGAGTTATTGCCCTTTGTTAATTTTCATATTTCATTTTTGTCCTGGACATTTCTCTTAAACTATATTGTTCACAAGGCGACACATCCGACTCAAGTTCTAGTTTAAATGTAACAACATATTGTAAAAATTTTCTGCTGTTTAGCATCCATAGATATGGCAAATAAACAGTGCCTTACCTATATTCAATGCTTGTAAGTTTCCTATCTGAAATCAGGGAATATCTACAGTATGATAGGCATTCTTACTCTATATGTAATATAGTTTAAAACTGATTTTATAGCATGTCCATTTCTCTTATTTTAGTGCAGATCTCGAGGTACAAGTTACAAAGGCCCACTACAGGTCCAGATAGGATACACAGTGAATGGACAGGCTGGGCCGCCCATACCCAAAGTCCTGGGTCAGTTACCTATCATGGTTAAGGTAATCTACAATTTACTTATGTTGTTTTAAGATTTATTTAGATGTGCTGTACATAAGTTAAACCATTGGCTATTACAGCCAGCTTTGTTTGCTATGAGATACAGTCGACTCTCGTTATCTCGAAGTCATTGGGACCGTCCAAAAAATATCGAGATAACGAAATGTCGAGATAAACAAATTAGGGTTAGAACAAGGCGAAACTGATTTTTACAAAAGACATGTGCATACCTTATGTCAAACAAACTATAATATCCCCATGTCTTGTTTTCATAGGCCTAGTCAATATTTAACAAAGTAACATAAGCGGATGTTTACCAGCGGAAATACGGGTGTCTGTGATAAAAACACATAGTGAGGTTTACTCAGTAATACACCAATATAGTGAATCGGATATCGGATATGGTTGATCCGGATATCCTCCCGGGTTATTTATCGGGTCTTTCACGAGATTGTCCCACCGCTGATTGATTTTGGTGGTGATGTTGTGAAACAATATTGCAACGATAGCGTTTCTATACTTTCACTTTTTCATTTACATTTAAAGTCATAATGAATTGATACAGTGTTCGAATATTTAAAAAGAATGTAAAATTCACTCATTGTGGACATAAGTCAATCAACACGCTAAATAGATTAACTTTTATAAAAACAGCTAAACTTGTTACAAACATAATCGTCATTATGACACGCGCTATTAATTGAGCAATTATCGTCTAGATTGTGTTTTTCACACGTCTGAAGGGAACAGACGAAGTCGAGATAAACAAAGGATAGTAGTGTGAAAATAACTGTTGGGGCTGAAATTTTACATCGAGATACTGAAAATATCGAAATAGAAATATCGAGATAAACAAATATTTCCAATATAGATAAAGAAGGAAGAAAATCGGGACTTTCAAAATTTCATCGAGATAACGAAATATCGAGAAAAGCGATGTCGAGATAACGATAGTTGACTGTATATGGTTTGAAAGCACTAAAGGTTGCTTTAGTGCTGGCTACACTTACATTGTCACTGTATTTAAGAATGATTTATGGCTATATGTAGCACTGAGTATGAGTGTAATTAGCGATCACTGTTTTTAAGCATTTTTACCAATCATAATGTGGCAATTGATTTGGAACAAAATTTAAATCATGGGGAGTCACATATATAACATTGAGATCAGTGTATAAATAACACAAGGCGCAATGATGTCTTTTCTTGTAAGACTGTTCTTATAACAAATCAAGCCATTTGAGCTAAAAGTGTATAATCTATGAAAACAATACTTTATACATAAAAAAGTGCCTGATGATGTGTTATGTTAATATTTTGTGTCAAGATTAATATTTATATATATTATTGGGTTGTTTCAATTCATCATAATGAGCTAATATGTGCATATATATGTAATAACAGAGTGAGATGTGTCATCTTTCCAAGATGTCGCCAAAAGAACTGATCAAGCATGGAGAAGAGGCAGAGGTAGGCATTAACATATTAGAAAGTTATGATTAGGTAGGCATTAAACTTTGAGAGCTAGGCAGAGGTAGGCATTAACATGTTACAAAGTTATGATTAGGTAGGCATTGAACTTAGAGAGCTAGGCAGAGGTAGGCATTAACATGTTACAAAGTTATGGTGAGGTAGGTATTGAACTTTTAAAGAGCTAGACAGAGGTAGGCATTAACATGTTACAAATTTATGGTGAGGTAGGTATTGAACTTTTAAAGAGCTAGGCAGAGGTAGGCATTAACATGTTACAAAGTTATGATTAGGTAGGCATTAAACTTTGAGAGAGCTAGGCAAAGGTAGGCATTAACATTTTAGAAAGTTATGGTTAGGTAGGTATTGAACTTTTAAAGAGCTAGACAGAGGTAGGCATTAACATGTTATAAAGTTATGGTGAGGTAGGTATTGAACTTTTAAAGAGCTAGACAGAGGTAGGCATTAACATGTTACAAAGTTATGGTGAGGTAGGTATTGAACTTTTAAAGAGCATGGCAGAGGTAGGCATTAACATTTTAGAAAGTTATGGTTAGGTAGGCATTAAACTTTGAGAGAGCTAGGCAGGTTATTGTGAGGTACTAAGGCATTTACCTTTTAGAGAGCTAGGCAGAGATAGGCATTAACCCTTAAGAGAGGTAATGGTGATTATGCCAGGATTATGCTACATATATAGAGCTTGGCCAGCATGTAGTTCTGTACAGTATGACCACACTGAATACTTTCTGCTAAATATATTGATATTATTTTGTTGTTATTTGTATCGCAATCCCTCAAAACTAGCAATGGACTAGCCAGACAAAAGGATGGTAGAGTCCAAAATACAAAATTCTGTGGGAAATAATTTGGTACTTTTTACATATCCGAGGAGGAAGGAATAAAAGGATTCAAGTTCAAATAGCCTGACTTTACAGAATCTTTAAAGTTGTTTGGCCAACAAGACCAAACCAACAGGGCCTTTTTCTTGAAATTTTATGTTAGACAGCTCAGATGATTAACATGTATTGCAAAATATTATGTCATACAGTAATAAAAGAATGAAATTTACAGTGTAAATGAATAAAAGGTTATTTTATGTTTTGTAATATATTTCAGGAAATGGGAGGTTATTTTATTGTAAATGGTATAGAGCGTCTTGTAAGAATGATAATCTTGCCTAGGAGAAATTATGTGAGTATTAACAGAGAAGAAAACATGCATTAAACATCTTTTGTATTTAATTATAGAAAAAGTCACATGAATAATCAACCGGAAATAATATCTGTCATATGTTGCCGTTCAGATCAGAATATCTATATATATATCCCGAGGGGACACGCCCATGGGCTGGCTCCAGAGGGATGGAAATTCCCATCTGAACTGCAAACTTATGTCAGATATTTTTTCTTGCATATTCTACCATATTCCATTATATTTTAAATTCTTTACCTTAATAAAAACAATTTTCCATGGAAATGTAGGTCATTACACCCGTAACTATTTTCAAACAACAGCTTATGAAATTAAAACTTCATTCATAACAGTAAAATTATGTCAGCCTAAGCATGCCATTGTATAGCACTCGACTCATCTGGCACACACACCCCCCCCCCCCCCCCCCCCCCCTCAATGCAAGATGAAATTTCTGGCTTGGGTGAAACTAAAGGAAACACCAGTCTGCTATGCAAGAATAACAAGACCAATGATCTACTAGATGATTTATCTCACCTGCGTTAATGCCAGTCCAGATTTGGTGACCAAGTTTCCAGTCACATTTATTAAATAAATATATTCAAATCATTTTCAAATATCAGATCCATAACTCAGTCCATGACTCCATTTGTCAAAAGAATGATCCGAACATGAATAATTGAGGAAAGAAAAAGAATTAATTAAAATATTCACTTGCCATGCTGTAAATAGAAGCGATTGCTAAAACGAGAATTTATAAAGATCAGAATTACAGATAGCTGAAGTGTAACAATAACATGTTTTGTTGGTTGTTTCATTGACACTTGCACTAATGAAGTCATATGGCAACTTGCTAGCTTTAATGGTGGAAGAAAACCTTAGGTGACCTTTAAGTGTATTTAAGACACTAACTATGACCTGAGTAAAACTGTCACCCTTCCATTAGCTAGCAGAAAAGCTACCTCACATAGAAGAATATAAATTTCCTTGCATGATTCAAACCTAAAGTTTGTAATGAGCATATGATTCTCAAAACATGTTGTAACAGTCTTCTGAAATGAAACTTTATTAATTTTGGTGTCATATAAATGGTATGGCACGGTAATTTCAGAGGTTACTGAATGTAAAGGGAGGTAACTGTAAACAGACATGATGTTTTCTAGTTATGTAAAATCAACAAGAATATCACTGAAGGCAATGGTAACATGTTATATGTTTAATTTCAGCCGATATGTTTGACACGACCAGGTTGGAGAAAACGTGGCACTATGTTTTCAGACTATGGTGTCATGATGCGATGTGTCAGATCTGACCATACTGCTACTGTAAGTAATATAAATACCACTGTATCATGTGCACTGTTTTTATTCTAAATGGTGTATTTATTTTGTTAAAAAGAATATACATGTACATGTTCAATTAATTTTTATACTAGACATGTCAGCTAATTTGTCAAAGTTTTAGCTTGATTTTGTTTTAGTCTATCATACTTGTATGTGAATAGCAATATGCTTTATACTCATGATAAGAAAATAAAAAATTTTGTTTATACTGAAACATGATAACCAGAATTGTGAATGAAACTGTGGTTTAACAAGTACCATTCAGTAAATGAGTAATAGATAGTTACACACTTACTAACTCCATGGTGTGAACATAAAAAAACCTGCTTAGCTCAATAAGGAGAACATAGGATTTCATTTGTAATACAGGGCAAAGGCAAGGCGCAATTTCTTTTGACAAATTGAACACAAACATTGAGTCTGATGGACATGTGTCTCTTGTTGTTTATTCAAAAATCATGTGGCCTTAGTAGTTTGTCAGTTGTGAAGAAACTGGAATTACTGGTTTGTTATCAATGAAAGGTGGTTAGGTGAACTTTCTGCTAAAATATGACCAAAAATGTTCAAATTGTCATAAAAACCAAACCAGCAATATATAAGTTAATAACCATTCCAACTTGCTTCAGCATTAAAGTAAAATTTGTTAAAATGATTAAAATTAAAAGCAAATTTTATGATAAATTTATATTTTCAATTTGACAGAATATGGTATTGCACTATCTGAATGATGGAACAGCCAAACTTTGTTTCTTCTACAATCAAGAACTCTTCTTTGCTCCTATTGTTGTGATTCTGAAGGTAAGTTTATCATCCATTCCATATTAAAAAATGAAAGAAATACGATTATTATTATAGTAATGGAAATAATTGAAATGAGGTTTGAAACAATGGATCTTGGAAGAACACAAAAAGTAACAAAGTGAAAGAGTATGTTGTCAATTTAGTGCAGTGTCAGATAGAGTTTTGACCGAGTAATTTAAGTTGCCCTGTACTTAATATCAATATTGCTATATGTTTTTTTTTGTTCATTGATTGCAATTTGTTGAATGTTGAGGATTGAATACGACTTAAGCCAATGCTTGGGGAAGAATGAGAGATATTCTCATTGCAGGGCTTTACTATTAACTGATTGGTTAAAATGCTGTTAAAATCTGTTGGTATTTTTAGCCTGTAGATTAAGATAACCCCCTTGATCACTGGCCAGATCAGTTGTTTTAGTTACATCTGTTGCTATAGATAGTTCTGGCTTCCATAACTTTAAATTGCTGTTTTGCAACTGTAAAGTAGTACTATAAAACCTGTTCACTGAAGTCTCTTTAGATACTGTTGCTACAGATTAAAATGAAAGCCCTGCCACTGTCTGTCAAGAATAGGCTCAATTAAACTTCTTTTAACAATTGTGTCACAGACTGCTCTTGTGGATCTTCCCTTTTTTCCAGATATTTATGCTGACATATTAGTTACATCTGCTTACAGTGTGTGGGAACATAACACATTTCATTTCCTTTTCATTGTATTTTCCATGAACAGAATACAAAGTATAAGGAAAGTTTTCAAATATAAAATATGTACATGTGTTAAATAAACTTAGAATGTACAAACATTGATTTAATTCAGGTATATTATGTAGAATGATATTTGATGTGTACATTGCAGGGTTTGATGTCATTACCAGATAAATATATATATGATGAGTTGGTAAAAGGAAAAGAAGATGACTCTTTTTATAAAGGGTAAGGTTATAGCAGTTAAAGGGACACCACTGTGGTTTTTGTTTTATTTTATTGTTTTAAGCATTGGAGTTCCTTCAAGTCAGTTATATGGAAAAATGTTATAGTTTACCCAGGGCTCCAATTTAATGCTTGCAAACTTGCAAGTAAACTTAAAATTGCCAGTAGTTGTTCTGTTTTTTTTTTTGTTTACCAATTTTTGCAAGTTAAAAAAATTAGAAAATATGCATCAAATCATGTTAATTGTGAAGAAAATTAAGTTGTGCAAAGTATAATTGACAATGCATTCTTTATTGATGATGTCCAAAAAAAAAACAACAAAGACAAATATATAAATTATGCATGATAATGCATTACATGTAAAATGAAATTGTGGAAAAAGGTACATTTTGGTTTTTGGGTTAATACACTAACTAGCAACAATTGCCAGTGAAAAAATAGTTAAATCTGAGCCCTGATACTAAGTTTTATGAAGATTATGTAGGAATCAAAAATGATGATGTTTCTGGGTCAGATTATGAGGAGTAAACTTTATAGATAATAGACTATGATAAATTTTGATTTGAAATAATTCTTCACATAAGTAGTATCTTATAGTTATAGTAAGTTAAGTCCCCCTTCTTAGCTCAATAGGGAGAGCGTCTGATTTGTAATCCAGGGGTGACTGCTTCAATCTTGGGGTAAGGTACAATTTCTTGCTGAATATTGACCTCGGACATGTTCGGATCAGCGTAAAAACCTAAAAAACAAATAAACAGTAGTATGTTTAAGTACAAAGATAGGACAAAGTCAGCCTTATTCACTGTCACCTAATCTCAAAATCAAAATATCAGTTTCTGGATTCCTGCAAATTTTCTAGTTCTATGTTAGATACAATGTACATGTTTTGTGTATAAACAAAATTTATAACAAGGAAAAATCTAATGCCTTTACATTTGAAGTTCTGTGTGATTTATTTTGAGAAATTGGCATTTATTTGCAATATTGATACACATTCCAGGCAAAGTTCTAACAACCCTCAATTCTACATTGCCATCACACTTTGGTTAAGTTTTTTTGCATACAAATTAGTATTTCCAAAACTACTGAAGGGAATGAAACTTCGCACATTATCTAACATGATTAGCACAAGTCCTATAACTCTGAGTTACCTTTTATTTTAGACTTATGCCACTTTCCTTAAAGTCAAGCACTGAGAATAGTCATTTGTATATGTGTATTTTCTCTTTTACTAGATGTGTAGTGGCTATGTTACGTCAAGCATTGAACGAGAATTTGCTCACTAAACAATCTGTGTTAAAACATATTGGTTCGAGGTTCCGTGTGAAACTCTCGCTACCGGAATGGAAAACAGATGAAGAAGTTGGACAGTTTCTTTTACAGTAAATATATGTTACATTATGATTTAAAGATGTTTTTTTTGACAAATTTGGTACATTTCTGAATATAAAACTTAAGTATGAGTTACAGAAGAAAAGTCATTGCTTTCAATTTCACAATTTTCTGACAAAATCTCCAAATTTAGTGTAATGCTAAAATTTATTTCCAGATATCCTTCCAATCTAAATTGAGTAACAAATCCATTACTTCTATTTGTCCTGTAAATTATGCTTTGAATTAAAGTTTAACAAAAGTACAATATATTATCTGTTGTTTTTTTCTAGTAAATGTAAAACCCAAATTATAAATCCTCGTAAGAACAAGAAATAATCTTTGTTTGCCTCTTTTTCTTATCTTTCTACATTTATTCTTAAACCTGTTCTTTAGTTTAAAATGATTGTGAGACAACATTGCAATATATTTTTGTATGTTTTCAGACAATGTGTGTGTGTACATTTAACAAACGATGTTGATAAATTCAATCTCCTGGTGTAAGTAAAGTCTGATCTTATTAGTCTATGTTTATGTTACTATGATATCTTTATATTTATTCCTTAGCTTGCTGAAATAGAAAGTGACTAGCCTTTACAGGTAGTATGGAGCGTGGCAAGGTGTCTGCACAGGCTATATTCGGAGCCTAATATTTGTGTTTTAATTTTGACATCACATAGAATTAGAATGAACTGTTCTGAATGAAAAGCAGGACCAATCCATTACACAAATTCAACAGGTTAAATGTAAAGTCTTTCAATGCTTACTGACTGAAAATGACTTACTGTTCCAATTTGTATGAAGCTAAACCATGCATGCCAGTTGGGTAATTGGTATATACATAGTGGATATGTATTTGATTTTGATAAATATGGTCTGTTTCTCACTTAGAAGAAAGAAGGCTTAATGCCTGTTTATAGTTATACTGTTAAAGGGAATTTGAAGAGTTTGAAGTTGACTGTTCTTTTTATGCCTCCGCCATGTAATGGCCGGGGCATATAGTGTTACCCTGTTCCATCATTCCGTCCTTCCGTCATTCTGTCATTCTGTCATCATCAGTTTCCGTTCATTATCTTAAGAACGGTTGCACACATTCAACTCAAATTTGACATATGGATATGTCATGAGAGAATACAGGTCAAGTTCGAATTTGGTCATGATTCGATGATTTTTGGCAGAGTTATGCCCCTTTTACTTTGAAAATAATATGAAATTTCAGTTTCCGTTCATTATCTCCCCAACGGTACAACACATTCAACTCAAACTTGACATATGGATATGTCATGAGAAAAACCAGGTCAAGTTCGAATTTTGTCATGGTTCAATGATTTTTGGCAGAGTTATGCCCTTTTACTTTGAAAATAATATGAAATTTTCAGTTTCCGTTCATTATCTCCCCAACGGTACAACACATTCAACTCAAACTTGACATATGGATATGTCATGAGAAAATACAGGTCAAGTTCGAATTTGGTCATGGTTTGATGATTTTTGGCAGAGTTATGCCCCTTTTACTTTGAAAATAATATGAAATTTTCAGTTTCCGTTCATTATCTCCCCAAAGGTACAACACATTCAACTCAAACTTGACACATGAGAAAATACAGGTCAAGATCGAATTTGGTCATGGTTCGATGATTTTTGGCAGAGTTATGCCCCTTTTACTTTGAAAACAATATGAAATTTCCAGTTTCCATTCATTTTCTCCCTAAAGGTACAACACATTCAACTGAAACTTGACATATGGATGCGTCAAAGGAATGCGCAGGTCAAGTTCAAATTTGGTCATGGTTCAATGATTTTTGGCAGAGTTATGCTCCTTTCACTTTGAAAATAATATGAAATTTTCAGTTTCCGTTTATTATCTCCCCAATGGTACAACACATTCAACTCAAATTTGACATACGGATATGATTTTGGAATGCCCAGGCCAAGTTCGAATTTGGTCATGGTTCAATGATTTTTGGCAGAGTAATGCTCCTTTCACTTTGAAAATAATATGAAATTTACAGTTTCTGTTCATTATCTACCCAACAGTGTTGCATATTCAACTTAAATTTGACATATGGATATGTCAAAGAAATGGGCCGGTCAAGTTTGAATTTGGTCATGGTTTGATGATTTTTTGGCAGAGTTATGTCCCTTTCACTTTGAAAATAATATAGATACATCTTAGGAATAAGCAGTTTAAGTTTGAATTTGGTCGTGGTTCAATGATTTTGGACAAACTTATTTTTCCTGAATGTTGGAAAAATTTTGAACTTTCAGTTTCAGCACTCATACTTTTAGCCATTATTTTGGCTACAAATAAGCAATATGCTATTTTTAAAAGGTTAAGACTGAATAATTTCAGTGCCTTGAACATTGTATGAAAATGGTTTGTGTTAACATTGAAAAGTTTTAAGGGCTTTGAACTTAAAATGAAAAAAATAATTAATGCACCATCTGAAATTTTGGCTGCATGTGGGGCATCCGTGGCATGATGACACATTTCTAGTTTTCTATATATGCTTGTAGTGAGAAAACATTAATATGATTATATGATATATTTAGTGGTGGATATATCACATCAAGTGTTATTACTGTAATATTTGCATAACAAGGTTATATCCTTTGACAGATACATGACCAGAAAATTGTTTGACTTTGCGAAGGGAAAATGTGCTGCTGAAAATGGTGATAGCCCCATGTTTCAGGAAGTTCTGCTTGGAGGTCATCTATTTCAGATGTATCTGAAGGTATGTATGTATGTAGAAGTGATCGGATTGAAAATTCTGTGTTAAACTGCGTACTTCAGCAGTCTACAATCTTAAAATAAATCAGGAAATTAAACTTATTACACTCTACAACCCTGGGTTTATGTAATGGACTTGACCTCCTTTCAGCTTATGAACTGTTCATTGTCAGTTTTGTGGTAATGCAGCATCTAAATACATCAGTTAAATGGAAAAGAGATTTGTCTGTTAGATTATTAGCCATGCTTGAACTTTAGGAGTAAAAAAAAAATTAAGAGTGAAGGCATAGTGATTAAGGTGTTTGGCTATTTACCCAGGGACTGTTTTTTTCAAGCCCTTCTTTGGTCACACACCAGTACTGGTTAGTTCCAGGAACAGGTATTCCTCCACCAGTAAAGCTGGACAGTTACCATAGAAAAAGGTTCAAATAAGAATGAAAAGACTAATTTTAAAAGTCATGAAAATGATTTTCTATGTATTAAATGTTGACAGGAAAAACTGGATGGATATTTACAAATAATAAAATCTGTGATAGATAGACAGGCAAAGGCTTACAAAGGAGGGAGTGAAAGGTACAGACTTACACCAGGTATGTTATTATTATATAAAACTTTATGTTAAATGACCAGACTGTGTTTTTGTTATAGACACAGTGCTATAGGGTCGGTCAGGACTATCAATGGTTCAGGAAATAAGCTTCAAAGTAAAATCCAAGGGTGAGTTTTTTTTCTAAAGATGGGATAAGATGATGTTTTTTGATATTTGTTCTCTATTTACTCTATAGTTGCTATGTAGACAATCACTAATGCATTACCTTTTAATTTTCTCACTGCAAAAATAAAGTTTTGTTACAGATAAATTCAAACTTATACTGAGAGTATAATCTTTCAAAGGATTTTTGATACAAATTTATCCATATGTTCATTTCTAATTTTTCATTTAGATAACTTGTAGACATTGCGCATGAGTGTTGAGAATTATCTCTCTTAACCTAGGAAATTACTATAACATAACATTTCTATGATAGCAACAATCAAGTTCCATTCCTGAAGACGTTATATGTTTGAGGATCCACTTACCCCTCACCACCTTGGGTTCAAATCCTTCTACAGACTTTGAATTCATTCATTTGAGATAGTTAGCTTATGAAAGATAGTTGGTTCTACCCAGGTGTCAGCTAGTACATGAAAATGCATATAGAGGTGTCCCTTGTGATTTTTCTCTAGAATTACATCTTAATAATAATTGACTAATTTCTTTAATATTGTCACTCTGTCTTAATACCTGCTCAACTGACCATTATAAAAAAGTGTTTCTATTACAAATTCAGTTATTTGTACTTCAGGTCTAAGGACAATTCTCCTTATTCTTGTTACAGCACAGTGTATTTTGTTATGGTCATTGTGCATATTTGATAAAGAATTAAAATTCTTTAAGTTCAAATCTTTATCTTTACAGATGCCCTAATTAATGCATTGAGATATGGACCTGATATTTGCAAATCATTTGAATATCTAGTAGCCACAGGGAACCTTGTTACTAAATCTGGACTAGCATTGATGCAGGTGAGATAAATTTCTAGTTTGTCTGTTTTCCTGGTCCTTCAGGATCAGTGATTACATTGTTGAAAATAGAATACTTCATATGCCTGTGCTAGAGGGTTTAAGAGAAGTTGCATTTTCCATTTACTTTTGTGAATAGCATCAATCAAGTAGAAAAAAATGAGTTCATAAAAAACACGAATCCTATGTAACACATGTCAGGACCACATTTTATTGGCACAAAATGAGGTTTTATGTATATTTGGCATAAAAGAGGGTACTGGTTTGATTTCTGATGCATATTTCAAAAGGTGGTCATGATAACAGATATTGACCAAGGGCTCTGTGTTTTACAATGATCCCCTGTGACTGTAGGGGTTGAAATCACATGACTGTCTGTAGGTCAAGATTCTGTGGGTATTTTTGCGATATGTTGGAAAGATGTAAGTTCTCGTACAAAAAAAAACAACAACAAAAAACAAAAAGTCAAAAAGATAGTTTGTCATTTTTTGAAACTCTTTCCTTTTCCATCCCATCATATGCAAACTGTATTGTGAGTGTACAGAAATCGGGTCTGCCATAGATTTGTTTGAATGATTGCCTAATGTCAGAACAGACACAGAAATCAGTTGATGTTATTGTTTTTCAGAATTCTGGTTTGACAGTTGTAGCAGACAAATTAAACTTTATGAGATATATTTCTCATTTCCGTTGTATACATAGAGGTGCTTTCTTTGCCACAATGAGAACCACTGCTGTGAGAAAACTTCTGCCTGAAGCTTGGGGTTTGTGTTTAATCTTTTCATCCTGAATTTGTGAACCTAAAACTGTTTTTAAAGCTGCATGCTTACAAATGAAATATTTAAAGAAAATCAGACTTGATAAAAAGGATTGTAAGAAAAGTATAAAAAAATTCAAGATTCAATGACTGATTTCAAAGTATCTATCACCATTTTTCTACTGCATGCCTAAAACAGTAAGAGCTATTTTTGCATATTTTGCCCTCTTTCTGGTAATTTATGTGGAAATTACTTTCCATTTGTTTGTTTGATGGGGTTTTATGTCGCACCGACACAGTATAGGTCATACGGTGACGTTCCAGCTTTACTGGTGGAGAAAGACTTCGGATGCCCTTCCAAGCATTATTTCAGGCATGAATGGGCACCTGAGTAGAACCATTGACATTCCGTAAGCTAGCTTGATAGCTTCCTGACATGAAAGAATCCAAAGTCCCTGTTGGGATTCGAACCCACAGCATAATACTTTTAAATACATTTTCAAATTTTTATATTCCATAAAGTTAACTGCTTATTTATATATATTAGGTGTTAATGTTTTTGTGTACATATTTGTTGTAGGTTTTCTATGTCCTGTACACACCCCTGATGGTTCTCCATGTGGTCTGATGAACCATGCTACAGCTATGTGCCAGGTAGATATCCTAGGAATCCTTTATTTACACAGTCTTATAAATGGTTCTATTTTTGTTACCAAATAAACAAAATTTAGCAAATAATTTTTTGGGCTTTTTTTTAATATTTTTATTTTGTAAATTTCTATTTTCTGTATATGTCAAGACTGAAAATTTCATTTTGGAGATAAGATTTTTTACCCCCATGAGAATGTATCATTATCATATAAACCACGGTGCAATAAAGCCATTTTATAAAAACAGTATTACACAAGTGCAATTACACTTTGACATGACATCATTTGTGCTATATATAAACATAGCATTAAAGCACGCTGATGTTCGCGTTACATTATAAGTGCATCAAATAGAAAATGAGTTTTTATACCCCCGCACAACAAAGTTGTAAGGGGGGTATACTGGAATCAGCTTGTCCGTCCATCCGGCAGTCCGTCCGGCCGTCCGTCCAGCTGTCCGTCGGTTTTTTCTTGTCCGCCCAATAACTTAAGATTCCTTTGACCCTTAGTCTTCATATTTGGCATGGAGGTTAGTCATGATTAGTAGATGACCCCTATTGATTTTGAGGTCACTAGGTCAAAGGTCAAGGTCACAGGGGCCTTGACTTCAAAAAGCTTGTCCGCCCAATAACTTAAGATTCCTTTGACCTACAGTCGTCATATTTGGCATGGAGGTTAGTCATGATTAGTAGATGTCCCCTATTTATTTTGAGGTCACTGGGTCAAAGGTCAAGGTCACAGGGGCCTTCACTTCAAAAATCTTGTCCCCCCAATAACTTAAGATTCCTTTGACCTACAGTCGTCATATTTGGCATGGAGGTTAGTCATGATTAGTAGATGACCCCTATTGATTTTCAGGTCACCAGGTCAAAGGTTAAGGTCACAGGGGCCTTCACTTTAAAAAGCTTGTCCGCCCAATAACTTAAGATTCCTTTGACCCATAGTCTTCATATTTGGCATGGAGGTAAGTCATGATTAGTAGATGACCCCTATCGATTTTGAGGTAACCAGGTCAAAGGTCAAGGTCACAGGGGCCTTGACTTCAAAAAGCTTGTCCGCCCAATAACTTAAGATTCCTTTGACCCATAGTCTTCATATTTGGCATGGAGGTTAGTCATGATTAGTAAATGACCCCTATTGATTATGAGGTCACCAGGTCAAAGGTCAAGGTCACAGGGGCCTTGACTTCAAAAAGCTTGTCCGCCCAATAACTTAAGTTTCCTTTGACCCACAGTCTTCATATTTGGCATGGAGGTAAGTCATGATAAGTAGATGACCCCTATTGATTTTGAGGTCACAAGGTCAAAGGTCAAGGTCACAGGGGCCTTGACTTCAAAAAGCTTGTCCGCCCAATAACTTAAGATTCCTTTGACCCATAGTCTTCATATTTGGCATGGAGGTTAGTCATGATTAGTAGATAACCCCTATTGATTTTGAGGTCAAAGGTCAAGGTCACAGGGGCCTTGACTTCAAAAAGCTTGTCCCCCCAATAACTTAAGATTCCTTTGACCCTTAGTCTTCATATTTGGCATGGAGGCTAGCCATGATAAGTAGATGACCCCTATTGACTTTGAGGTCACCAGGTGAAAGCTCAAGGTCACAGGGGCCTTGACTTCAAAAGCTTGTCCGCCCAATAACTTAAGATTCCTTTGACCCACAGTCTTCATATTTGGCATGGAGGTTAGTCATGATTAGTAGATGACCCCTATTGACTTTGAGGTCACCAGGTCAAAGGTCAAGGTCACAGGGGCCTTGACTTCAAAAAGCTTGTCCGCCCTATAACTTAAGATTCCTTTGACCCACAGTCTTCATATTTGGCATGGAGGTTAGTCATGATTAGTAGATGACCCCTATTGATTTTGAGGTCACTGGATCAAAGGTCAAGGTCATAGGGACTTTGACTTCAAAAAGTTTGTCCACCCATTAACTTAAGATTCCTTTGACCCACAGTCTTCATATTTGGCATGGATGTTGATCATGACTATAAGGTGACCCCTATTGATTTTGAGGTCACTGGGTCAAAGGTCAAGGTCACAGGGACCTTGACAAAAGCTTTTCTTCTCAATTGCTAAAGAATGTCCTGTCCGCAATGTATTGATTTTGACATTTTCACATTTGAAGCATGTAGAATACATAACTTAGCAATGCACTGGCTTAGTAACCTCAGATTTGGCAGGGAGGTTGTCTTTGAGCTCTAAATGGCCACTGTTGATTCTGACAAAGTGGTATGCGGGGGTATTCACGCCATGATAGTGGCAGTTCTAGTTTTTAACAGTTTATCGTTCTTGTTTGTTATACATACATGTATGTGATAAATAGGATATTATATTCGTATAGATTCAATACTAAATTTATTAGCCAGAGGATTGCATAATATGATTTTATTCATTTTGTTCAATAAATTCAGTATGAAACCTACACTCATTTAATATTCTCTATATATACATTTGTTTTATTATATGATCAAAATACATATGAATTTCTACTTTTGATATTTTTTCTTAGTTTTCCTTTGTCAAAAAGACATGCCCAAATCAGATGGAGAGTGCAGAAATTGTTAACCTATTTTTGGCATTCAATTCCATGTTAAAGAAGGTTAATGTACATACAAAGTGCAGCAAAACACATTTTTAGTTTATCCTTGTACTTTGACAGAGAGGATACTGCCTGACTGTAGTTTACACATGATGTTAGTACTCTATAAACTAGTACTCTAAACTGTAAAGCCAGTTATGATTAACAATTGGTTTCTATTAATAGTGGTTTAAATTTATCACTACTTTTTATGATGTTAATGACATACTTTGTTTTGAACAATATCACCTGGTGAATATCCCTTTTCTATTGACTGTGACAGTCGCAACACGGAGAAATTGGTAGTCATATAATATTTTAAATTTTAACAGTATGAGATAATAATATAGAAGGCTCTATAAATATCTATGTGATTCCAGTTCCAGGTTTTCACATTTCACGAACCAATCATTAAAGCTCTTGATATAGTAGGAGTGGCCTCATTGGATAATCCACCTTGTCCAATCGGAGAGTGTTACACAGTTATGTTGGATGGGAGGATTGTGGGATATGTCAGTGAGAATATGGCACCGCAGGTGGAACAAAAATTGCGTGTTATGAAAGTTAAAGGATTGCATAAGGTATTATTGTATTAACATCGTTTTTGCATAGTTCAGTTGTCGTGGAGAACATGTTTACTGCTTGGTGTTTTCACCTTTTTCACCCTTAACATGCTGAATTTGTGTTATGGATTTGTTCTGCTTTTTTGTTTGGATCAGTCCACTGAAGGTGAATTGGATATCAGTATTAAAACTAAAAAAAAATGGAGCTACCAACAATATAGAGGTAATCCTTGTCTTGCTCTATCGTGTTGATAAGGCTAATTACTTTCAATTCTAGTGAAGTAAGGGTTGAAATTTAATATGTTATACATGTATAACATCTTAAAGATTATATTCCAGGAGTTATTGCCCTTGAACTGATGATAGATTATAGAATACATAGATAAAAGTCATTTGACTGACATTTTTTTCAGAACTAAGTGGATAGAATTAAGGAAAATGAAAATAAGATATTTATGTAGGTGCATCGATATATGGATACATATATTTTTCAATGTTTACTAATTTGGATGTGTATATTTTTCTCATCTTACTAACATTCTTGAAAGTGAAATTTTTTTTGACAAGAATAAAGCTTTTAGGTGTTCTGTGACAATGTATTTCAGGTTCCACCTACAATGGAGATATGCCTTGTGAAGAAGACAGAATACGCCAGTCAGTACCCGGGTTTATACCTGTTTACCACGCCAGCCAGAATGGTTCGCCCTGTGAGGAACCTCGCCTTGAATGAAATTGAGATGATAGGAACGTTTGAACAGGTGTACATGGACATTTGTATAACTCAGAAAGAGGCTTACGAAGGGGTAGGAAGTAAACTTTATGAAAAATAAAAAATTACAACTCTTTAGCAAAAGGCAACAATGTAAAGAATAATTCTTGAATGTTTCTTGTTCTAAAATGTACAAATATTTTTCTCCACTAGACTCTTTGTCCCAGATCAATTGTCAAGGAGAATTGAATTCTCACCACAAGATCTGATCAATGATCCCTGGATAACTAATCCAATATTCTCCCCATTGAGCTAAGCCGGAATAAATAACATTGATGTAACATTCAACAAATATAACATACAAAATGTTAACAGGAATTTATGACTTACACAAACATAATGAGGAGAGTTTCTTACATGAATCAGTTATACACTTGTATTTCACAGATTCTATAAAAGGTATGTTTGGTTTCTAGGTAACAACACATGAGGAACTGGATGGTGTCAGTATGTTATCAGTGGCTGCCAATCTAACACCGTTTTCAGACTTCAACCAAAGTCCCAGAAACATGTACCAATGTCAGGTATATATACTTTAATACCATTCTTCAGTACTATTACACACTCCTTATGTAGATATAAAACAATACTGGTCGGAGACCATCAACCGGACACTTTTGGAACATTTTTCCGTACAAATTTCATAATTTTTAACCTAGAGACCTACAAATTTGACACAGTTCCGCTAGGTTCTTCTCCTAACTAACAAACTAGATTGTTTATTTCTGATTGTATTGACACTTATATCTGAGGCTCGACAAGGAGGGTATCAAAATTACCTAAATTGTCTACACTACAGTACCATGTGTCCGGACAGATATGTACATGACGTGATTTAATTCAGATAAAAGCTTGGGTGTTTTGATTTTTAACATGATATACAATATGTCAGTAACAAATGCTGAAGTTTTGGATATTCTATTATTCACTCTGCAAATGATTATAGCTGGTATATGAGGTCAGGCATTGCTTTCTTGACCCCCAAATTTCAACGTCAACATTCTTGAAATAGACATTAAAATATTACCATTTACGGAGGTTGAAATAAATTTATTTACTTAATTTTAAAATAAACATGCACTTATTGTTGATAAAAAAGTGACTGACAACCACTGAACAAAGAAAATACTAAATTAAGCATTTTCGGGGCCGTCCGGGTTTGGTGGTTGTCCGGTTTTGGTGGTCCCCAACAAGTAGCATAGCTTGTAGTAAACTTCTATGTTAATTATTACAAAAAATTTAATATTTTTCACATGTTGATAATAACCAAAATTTTAGATACTCACTTTTGGGTTACATTATCTTCAACAGAGTATCCTGAGATCTTTGTCCACCAGTAAAACAGGAAAGTAACCATAGACCTGTATCATTGTCCATGTGACTTAAAATCTCAACTAAATAAAGGACAAATAAAAACACATCATAAAATATATATACACATGTAACTGAAAAGTGCCTTATTGATGCTACCTTTAAATTTGATTGTAAATATTTGAGTCAAAACGAATCCAAGAATTATTGCCATAAAATATTTACAAAAAAAATTCAATATTACAGATGGGTAAGCAGACTATGGGTGTACCATTACATGCCTTAAAGTTCAGATCAGATAATAAGCTGTATAAAATACAGACCCCACAGACTCCGATGGTCAGACCGACCAAGTATGACTACTATGACATGGATTCATACCCACTTGGTACAAACGCTGTGGTTGCTGTTATTTCTTATACTGTAAGTTTATACATCATTTTGTTAACAAGTTTCATGGTGTTTACCTTGCAACTCAGTGAGTTCACCAGCATATGCTATTTTCTCAAAGCTAGTTTGTAGATTATTTGAATTTTTGGTCAATATTTTTACTTCTATTTAGCTAATTTTTTACATACAAAGAAAAGGAAAGATCCATCCTCCAAAAAAGCAGCCCAACTCAATTGAAGTCAATAGTAAAATTATGTAATGAGTCTTTTAATGACATGCTTATCTTCATAAATTAACAACTTCAAGAATTGTAAATCGTAAATTTATTAATGTTTAGGACTTAAAAATATTACTCCATTATTTTGAAACTTTCAAAGTTAATGAATTTATTGTGTCATTTTAAAAAGTATGCACAAATCTTATAGATTAAAAAGAAACTGAATAGATGTTATCTGGAACTCTGCAAATGTGGGTTTTTCCGTTCTAATCTAGGGGTACAAACAAACTTACTATTAAAGCTTCACGGTGCCTAACCATTCTCAATAGAGTGGTCAGTGAGTTGTGCATAAAATCAACATATTTACCAAATTGTAACTGTTTAATTTTGTTTGTGGAAAAACCCACTTTTGCAGAGTGTCAAAGTAACTCAAATAATTCTGAGTACCTATGACAAATTTCTATGTTTTTTACGATACAAAGGGATACGACATGGAAGACGCTATGGTTATCAACAAGGCAGCATTCCAGCGAGGCTTTGGTCATGCCACAGTATACAAGACTGAGATAATAAATCTAGGAGATTTAATTAAATCAGGATTTGATACCACACCACTTATATTCTGTCAGTATATTGTGCTGTGAAATTGAATACAGCAAAATCATTATTTATTATTCATGGGACACTAATTTTTGTGATTTTTCGTGGATAGGTCAATTCATGAAAATTAAGATACCATGAAATTTTATATGTATGCTGTACGTTAATTGCATTTGACATTTTTACAAAGCAAATAATGAAGAACCCACAGAAATGTCCTTTTTGACAGAAAAATGAAAATAATGCCCATGTTTTTATGTGAATTACATTATTTGATTTGACAGTATTTTGACATGTGTTGCTGAGACGTTATGATCATTTTCTGATTGTAAACCACTTCTCCTACACTGATGTTACTTTAAATGTTATCAGAGTGATTTAATTCTTTTGTGTGTAGAAGATAGCTGTACAACATGTATAATGTCAATGTTACTTTAAATGTCTGCCTACTTATCTCATTTAGGAAAAATTTTAGATTGATAATCAAGGGGTGACATGTTCAATCCTAGGGGAAGGCAAATTTAAATTTTGCTGTGAAAACTGATCTTGGACATTAAGGATACTCATGGCTGATTCTGAAATCATGTTGTATAAATAGTCGGTCAATCTTGGAAAAATTGTTGATTACTGGCTATAGTTATCCCTTGCTGAGATTTGACCAAAAATGTGTGAAAATTTGGCGTATGACAAACTAACAAAAGTAACTTTAAAACATGGAAAAAGAAACATTATGAAACAAAACCAAGATGTGTTTAACACAAAATAACTCCAATTCTTATGTATGGATTGACTAGTTTAAGGATAGGATTGTTTATCCTTTCACAACATTGTCTATTTTGTCTATTAGTTTATTTTGCAAGTTTATCACTATTTTAATTGTTACAATTTTAGCATCATCAGAAACTAGCAAGGCGTACCTGGCAGGTGAAGTAGACTTGGACGGTTTACCTTATATAGGCAGATGTATCAAGCCTAATACAGTTTATTACAGGTGAAATTTAATTTTTAACCCTTACCACGCTCAATTTCTTAATTGGACTCACCTGTCTGTCAATCTGGTCAAAAACATTCATCATTTTAAGGGAAAAATTCAAAATAAATACTGGGTCTGACTGAATAGCAAACAGTGCAGATCATGATCATATAGAATCAGTGGCTACCAACAAGCTAATGGTTTAGTACCATAGCAACCAATTTTTATGCTCCCCGAAAAATTTCGGGGGAGCATATAGTCGCCGCCTTGTCCGTCCGTCCGTCCGGCCGTCCGTCCGGCCCCTTTTCTTGTCCGGGACATACCTTTGAAACAACATAAAAGTATAAGAGGTATCAACATGAAACTTTGTAGGTAGATAGATCTCATTGAGTAGGTGTGCAGTGCACAAGAACCGTAACTCTGCCTTGCCTAATTTTTGAATTATTCCCCTTTGTTTATTTTTACACTTTGAACTTTGTCCGGGACATAACTCTAAATGTATAAGAGGTATCAACATGAAACTTTGTAGGTAGATAGATCTCATCGAGTAGGTGTGCAGTGCACAAGAACCGTAACTCTGCCTTGCCTTATTTTTGAATTATCCCCCTTTGTTTATTTTACACTTTGAACTTTGTCCGGGACATAACTCTAAAAGTATAAGAGGTATCAACATGAAACTTTGTAGGTAGATAGATCTCATTGAGTAGGTGTGCAGTGGACAAGAACCTTAACTCTGCCTTGCCTAATTTTTGAATTATCCCCCTTTGTTTATTTTACACTTTGAACATTGTCCGGGACATAGCTCTAAAAGTATAAGAGGTATCAACATGAAACTTTGTAGGTAGATAGATCTCATTGAGTAAGTGTGCAGTGCACAAGAACCGTAACTCTGCCTTGCCTAATTTTTAGTTCGACTATACGAAGTATATGGAGAGCTGTCCTACTCGCCCCGGCGTCTGCGTCGGCGTCCGCGTCCAGATTTTAGATTAAAGTTTTGGTGCAGTAAAATATTTTTCACTATAACTTTGTCATTTCTTAAGGTATCAACTTCAAACTTCAAATATATGTTCCTTATCATCAACCACATCTTATGTGACAAGGTTCATAACTCTAGCACCAATATTTTCAGATTTATCTCCCCTTGAACTTAGAATTTTCCTTAAAAAATACTATTTTTTACTGATACTTCTTTATTTCTTAAGGGATCAACCTCATACTTCAAATATATGTACCTTATCATCATCCCCATCTTATGTGACAAGGTTCATAACTCTAGCACCAATATTTTCAGATTTATCTCCCCTTGAACTTAGAATTTTCCTCAAAAAATACTATTTCTTACTGTTTCTTCTTTATTTCTTAAGGGATCAACCTCATACTTCAAATATATGTACCTTATCATCATCCCCATCTTATGTGACAAGGTTCATAACTCTAGCACCAATATTTTCAGATTTATCTCCCTTTGAACTTAGAATTTTCCATAAAAAATATTATTTTTTACTGTAACTTATTTATTTCTGAAGGGATCAACTTCATACTTCAATTATATTTACGTTATCATCATCCACATCTTATGTGACAAGGTTCATAACTCTAGCACCAATATTGCAAGAATTATCTCCCCATAAACTTAGATTTATTTACTAGAAAAATGTTATTTTTTATTTTAACTTTTTTTTAAAGGTATCTACCTCAAACTTCAAACACTTATTCCTTATCATCAATTTACATTTTATGTGACAATGTTCATAACTCTTGAAGCAATATTTACAGATTTATCTCTCTTTGAACTTAGGATTTTCTTTAAGAAATATAATAACTTCTTTATTTTTTAAGGTATCTACTTCAAACTTCAAATATATATTTCTTATCATTACACAAATGTTGTGTGGCAAGGTCCATAACTCTAGCATGACTATTTCTAGAGTTATTCCCCTTGATCTTGGAATTTATGTTAACAAACGTTATTTTTTACTGTAACTTAATACATAATTATAAATAATTGATTTTTCTTTCATAGTTTTGTCCTCCTTACTGAGTCCAGTATTTCATTAGTCGAGCTTCGCTGTCTCCTGTGACAGCTCTTGTTTAATTATCCCCCTTTGTTTATTTTACACTTAGAACGTTGTCCGGGACATAACTCTCAAAGTATAAGAGTTATCAACATGAAACTTTGTAGGTAGATAAATCTTATTGAGTAGGTGTGCAGTGCACAAGAACCGTAACTTTGCCTTGCCTAATTTTTGAATTATCCCCCTTTGTTTATTTCACACTTTGAACTTTGTTCAGGACATAACTCTAAAACTATAAAAGGTATCAACATGAAACTTTGTAGATAGATAGATCTCATTAAGTAGGTGTGCAGTGAACAAGAACAGTAACTCTGCCTTTCCTAATTTCTGAATTATCCCCCTTTGTTTATTTTCACACTTTGAACTTTGTCCAGGACATAACTCTTAAACTATAAGAGGTATCAACATGAAACTTTGTAGGTAGATAGATCTTATTAAGTAGGTTTGCAGTGGACAAGAACTGTAACACTGTCTTGCCTACTTTTGGAGTTATTGCCCTTTGTTCATTTTGACACTTTGAACTTTGTCCGGGACATTACTCTAAAATTATAAGAGATATCAACATGAAACTTTGTAGATAGATAGGTCTCATTGGGTAGAAGTGCAGTGCTTAAGAATCATTACTCTGCCTTGCCTTATTTTGAAGTTATTGCCCTTTGTTTATTTTTACTTTTTGACTTTTGTCCGGGACATAACTTTAAAACTATTAGAGATATCAACATGAAACTTTATAGGTAGCTAGATATAATTGGATAGAACTGCAATGCTTAAAGAACCTAAACAAAGCCTGGTCTTATTTTGGAGTTATTGCCCTTTGTTCATTTTTACACTTTGAATTTAACCCGGGACATAACTCTGGTATCATCAGGAAACTTTATAGATAGATAGATCTCATTGAATAGAAGTGCAGTGCAAAAAAACATAACTCCGCCTTGCCTAATTTTGGAGTTTTTGCCCCTTGTTCATTTTTTTTATACTTTCCTGTGTCCAGAAGCTTCTCGAGGAGCATCACCCGGTTCAACCGGTTCTTGTTGTCTTTGTGTTCAATTGATCAAGATAGATCTGTTTTAATAAATTGGCATTCATTTAGAGTAAATGTCAATCCACCTTGGGATTTTTAAGTCTTAAAAAAAGCTTTAATTTGCCTTGCTCCTATCATGCAATGCTAAAAACCTGAAAAAAGTCCTTGAATTTGATTATCTTCAAAATATTTCATGAAAAGTCATTAAATTTGTCTTAGAATTTGCTTGGAATGAAACTGTATGACAGAGTGCATGATACAAAACATTTTCCCAGTAATTTCCCTTTTTATCACTTTGAAAATAGGGCCTTGTATGGTTAACCTATTCCGCCAAGTGGGATTTATCAAAAAATTTCAAGTAATTACTTAATTTATTTAATGATATCTTTCATATTTGGTAGGTGGATACCTTTAACGGTCCTCTAATTTTTTGTGGTGTTAGGTGTCTCTAGGTCAAGGTCAAGGTCACTTGTGTAACAAAATAAATCTTAACATTTCTGCTCATACAGCCTTTATTTTTAAGTTAATGTCATTCATGTTTATAATAGTCATACCAAGGGAGGTCCTCTTCCTTTTCCTTTAGTAAGGGGTCATTTGGGTCAAGGTCGCCAATGTCAAAAATAGATTTTTTACACTTTTACGGGTGTATTAACCTTATTCTATCGACAGATGTCTTGTATATTTTGTAGGAACATAAAATTGAGGTATTCTCATTTGGATGGAGGTAGGTGACAGTTGGGTCAAGGTCACCAGTGCTAAAAATAGATTTTTACACTTTTGCTCATACAGCCTTTATTAGTCCCCTACCGGTTTACCGGAGGGGACTTTAGGTTTACCCTCCGTCCGTCTGTCCGTCCGTCCGTCCGTCAGTCCGTCTGTCCGTCCGTCAGTCCGTCCGTCCACAAAATTGGATCCTGCGATAACGCAAAAAGTACTGAAAATATTTTAATGAAACTTGATATATGGATTGATGGCAGTATGGAGATTATGCACGTCTTTTTCTTTTCTTCCTATGTTGAAAATTCTGGTTGCTATGGCAACAAATAGACTGAAAATATGGCAAATTTTACACATAACCTGGATCCCGCGATAACGCAAAAAGTACTGAAAATATTTTAATGAAATTTGTTATATGGATAGATGGCAGTATGGAGATTATGCACGTATTTTTCTTTTCTTCCTATGCTGAAAATTTCTGGTTGCTATGGCAACAAATAGACTGAAAATATGGCAAATTTTACACATAACCTGGATCCAGTGATAACACAAAAAGTACTGAAAATATGTTTATGAAACTTGACATATGGGTAGATGGCAGTATGAAATTATGCACATCCTTTTCTTATCTTCCTATGTTGAAAATTCTGGTTGCTATGGCAACAAATAGACTGAATTTCAAGATTTCTGGTTCTAGTTTTAAGTTTTTTCACTATAAGTTCTTTATTTCTTAAGGTATTTTCTTCAAACTTTAAATATAAGTTGCTTGTCATCAACCACATCATATGTGACAAGGTTTACAACTCTAGCGCAGAATTTTTCAGAATTACCTCCCTTGAACTTTAAATTTCATGAAAAAAAACATTGTTTTTTTTTTAATAACTTCTTTTTCTGAATGTATCTACTTCAAACTTCATATAAAATGTTTCTTATTATCACTCAACATTAAATTTTGTGAGTGTTCAATACTCTAGCAAGACTATTTCCAGAATATGCCCCTTTTGAACTTAAGACTTTTTTTTGAGAAATTGGTAATTTTTACTCCAACTTCTACAATCATGATAGGATTTTAAAAATGTTATATTTTGATAACAGGGATGTTTTAAAAAATAACTTTAGAGTGTCTTTCAGTCCGTCTGTCTGTACATAAAAACTGTTTCCTGTGATCACTTTTAAAGAACTTTTTCAACAAATTTACTTAAAATAGGAACCTAAGTGAAATGGCCCTTCAGAATGTTGCTTGGGCTCTTACCGGTAGGGGACTTATGGATTGCTTGCAATACTATGATAATTGCTTGTTTATTGACAGATTTGTATTATAATTGGTAGGAAGATAACTTACATGGTATTCTTCCTTTGGATGGAGTAAGGGGTCAGTTGGGTCAAGGTCAACAGTGCTAAAAATAGATTTTTACACTTTTGCCCATACAGCCTTTATATATTGACAGATTTATTTCATATTTAGTTAGATGCTTATATCCTAAAGAATGTAGCGCCTAATATGAAATAATTGTCATAAAAGTGGCAAAATGTAAACAAAGTAGAATTTTGTCTTCCATACAAATTAGCTACTTCACTCTCTAAAGTTAAATTATTGACAACAGTGAGCACGGGGGCATTTGTGTTTATCAAACAAAGATTCTTGTTTATTAAATTTATTAGTGTAAACTGTGTTGCACTGAGAAAAGTTAAATGTTCTGTTCCTGGGACAGCTCTTGTTAAATAAATGAAGGTTAAACAATAAGCTTAGTAGATAAATAACAGATTTATTTTTACAGTTACATAAACACACAAAGTGGTGCAGAGAAAGTAAACTATTACAAGAGCCAGGAACCAGCTTATGTAGAACATATAAAGCTGTTAGGCAATGATACGGGAACCAGTGGGAAATCAAAAGTTGCTATCATGCTTAGAATTGATGTAAGTTTATACATGTAGTATCATTTTGTAGATTGTTATTGCACTAAGATAACGATATAGTATTTTGTAATGTATTTGATGGAATGATTTGTTTTATATTGGCTTTCTGGGGCATCCATGACTGAATGTTTAAGCAGGGATTTACATCACTGTCAGATTACAGGGGTCCTATGGATGTAGGTCCCACCGCTTATACAGGGGGTCAAATTATTAAATTTGACTTTGAAGGTGCAAAAATTCATGGTGTCCAACTACAAAATTTTTGCAGTTCAACACCTTACCAAACAAAACTATTTACTTGTTATTATACCCCCAAAAACGAAGTTTGTGGGGGGGGGGTATATAGGAGTCACCCGGTGGTCGGTTGGTCGGTCGGTCGGTCCAGACGTCCGTTGCATTTTCCTTGTCCGGAGCATAACTTGAAAACTAATGGTTAGAATTCAATATAACTACATACAATGGTAAAGCACATTGAGAGGAAGTGCAGTGCACAAGAACCATAACTCTATTTTGACTAATTACAGAGTTAACTGTTATTGCCCTTTGTTACTTTTCCTTGTCCGGGGCATAACTTGAAAACTACTGGTTGGAATTAAAAACAACTTCATACAATTGTCAAACACAATAAGGGGAAGTGCAGTGCACAAGAACCATAACTCTATCTAAAGTAATTACAGAGTTATTGCCCTTTGTTACTTTTCCATTGCTTTCTTTTGTCCGGACCATAACTTGAAGACTAACTGTTGGAATTCATTATAACTTCATACAATGGTCAAGCACATTGAGAGGAAGTGCAGTGCACAAGAACCTAAACTCTATCTTGACTAATTACAGAGTTATTGCCCTTTGTTACTTTTCCTTGTCCGGGGCATAACTTGAAAACTACTGGTTGGAATTAAAAACAACTTCATACAATTATCACAGACAATAAGGGGAAGTGCAGTGCACAAGAACCATAACTCTATCTAAAGTAATTACAGAATTATTGCCCTTTGTTACTTTTCCATTGCTTTCTTTTTGTCCGGAACCATAACTTGAAGACTAATTGTTGAAATTCATTATAACTTCATACCATGGTCAAGCTTATTGAGAGGAAGTGCAGTGTTCAAGAACCATAACTCTTATCTTGACTTATTACAGAGTTACTGCCCTTTGTTACTTTTCCTTGTCCAGAGCATGACATGAAAACTACTGGTTGGAATTCAAAATAACTTCATACAATGGTCAAGCACAATAAGGGGAAGTGCAGTGTACAAGAACCATAACTCCATCTTGACTAATTACAGAGTTAATGCCTTTTGTTACTTTTCCATTGCTTTTTTTGTCCGGAGCATAACTTGAAGACTAATGGTTGGAATTCAAAACAACTTCATACAATGGTCAAAGTGCAGTGCACAAGAACCATAACTCCATCTTGACTAATTACAGAGTTATTGCCCTTTGTTACTTTTCCTTTTCCAGAGAATAACTTGAAAATTACTGTTTGGAATTCAATACAACTTCATACAGTTGTCAAGGACATTAAGAGGAAGTGCAGTGCACAAGAGCCATAACTCCATTTTGACAAAATACAGAGTTACTGCCCTTTGACTCACTTTTCCTTGTCCAGAGCATAACTTAAAACGAAACTGGTTGGAATTCAAAACAACTTCATACAATGGTCAAGCACAATAAGAGGGAAGTGCAGTCACAAGAACTATAACTCCATCTTCAGTATTTATAGAGTTTATTGCCCTTGGTTCCTTTTCCTTGTCTTTCTGGACTTATTACAGAGTAATCAATTAAACTTCATCAATGGCCAACCACATTGAAAGGAAATGCAAACATACAAGAACCACAACTATCTTTAATTGCCAGAACCATAACTCTATATTTCAATTCTTTTACAAGGTATTCTGTTACTAGTAACATCCTCATTTCCGAAGCAGTCTTGTGGGGGTATTAATCACATTTAGTGATAGTTCTAGTATTATATATAGCTTAAAGTTTTTAACTGAAAGGGTTTTTAACTGTTTATGATGTTAATCAAGATTTTTAAAGCCAGCATTATATTTTTTATGCATCCACCTGGATGCAAAACCTTGGGAATTGTGCATCAAAGTAAGACTTTAATATAGGGATCTATTGATTAAGGATCCTGCATCTGGTGAAACACCCTGGTTAAGGCAGTTGACTTCAAACCACTTGCCCCTCACTGCTTTTGGTTCAAATTCCTTCAGAGACTTTGAATTCTTTCATGTCAGGAAGCAATCTAGTTAGCTTACAAAATGTCAGTGGTTCTGAACTTCTACTCTGCCTGAAATAATGCACAGAGGGGCATTGGGAAATCTTCCTTCCATGGGAAAGTCGCCATATTACCTTTACAGTGTTATTATGTAGTAAAACACAACCAAAACAAAACAAATTTGTTTTCTAAACACATGTTGCTTGTTCTCAAAAGAATAAAAATTATTAATCATTTGTCCCTCATCAATGTTTTCTTGAATCCTAGCTGAGACTTGTCATTTGTGTGATGTTTAATTTGAGAAGAGTGAGGTCTTATTATGAAGGGAAAAGTAAACATTATCATGATCTTTAACCCTTTCACTGCCATAGGGACGGCTTATGCCGTCCCTGTTATTTTCGGCGTATTTGCCAAATTGACTGCTTTTGCCGTTTCTATAATTATAATAATAATAATAAATTAATAATAATAATAATAATAAATATAAAGAAAATTATACCATCGGCAATAATTATTATTAGTCCCCTACCGGTTTAACCGGAGGGGACTTTAGGTTTACCCTCCGTCCGTCTGTCCGTCCGTCTGTCTGTCCGTCTGTCTGTCAGTCCGTCAGTCCGTCCGTCCACAAAACTGGATCCCACGATAACGCAAAAAGTACTGAAAATATTTTTATGAAACTTGATATATGGATAGATGGCAGTATGGAGATTATGCACGTCTTTTTTTTTCTTCCTATGTTGAAAATTCTGGTTGCTATGGCAACAAATAGTCTGAAAATATGGCAAATTTAACACATAAACTGGATTCCAGTGATAACTCAAAAAGTACTGAAAATATTTTTATGAAAACTTGAAATATGAGTAGATGGCAGTCTGGAGATTATGCACATCTTTTTCTTTTCTTCCTATGTTGAAAATTCTGGTTGCTATGGCAACAAATAGTCTGAATTTCAAGATTTCTGATTTAAATTTTCAGCTTTTCACTATATGTTCTTTATTTCTTTAAGGTGTTTACTTCAAACTTTAAATATAAGTTTCTGGTCATCAACCACATCATATGTGACAAGGTTTATAACCTTTATGCACAAAAAAATATCAGTATTACCTCCCTTGAACTTAGGGGAAAAATGTTGTCTTTTTTAAATAACTTCTTTATTTCCTAATGTATCTACTTCAGTTATATAACC